GCTGAGTATTTCCTCCTTAAAACTGCAGTGAACCAAAGACAGTCTCAAACACACACTTTCTGACGTCACAAACCACCTTGTAACCAATCAGATCAACGTGTGATCGACAACCAGTGGATCTCTGAGTGAGTGAGTGGAGGCGGGGCTCATTTGCATATTCATACAACCACAAAGAATAAATGAGGCAAGGGTGTGTGTGTGGTGGGTATGTTAAGGTGTAGGGCTAGTGTGTGTGTGTCTCTTACGTACCGTCCTCATCCACCTCCGCCCGCGGGTGGAGGAGTGGGACCGGCGCCGTGGTTTATTCGGCCCATCCGTCTGCGGCCCGGGAACCCAGGAGGACTGTGGGAACACACCGAGTAAAGACAGAGAACGGGACACAAGCCACACACACTCTCACACACACACACACGTACCCTCTGCCGTCGCTGAAGCGTGATGATGAGCCGGCGTGTCCATCTTTAGACAGATCTGGCTGAATGAGAGTCTGGAAGCTGAGGAGACGTTACACAGGTCAAACATCACAGGTAAACTCCCCAGCAACAACACAGAATACCTTAGCAACCACCCAGACTACCATAACTATCTAAATACTGCTTTATGTTCAAAATTCTGCCTTATAGAACATCAACTTAACTAAAACTATTTAAATCTTCAAAGCTATAACTAAAGCTAGTCTGCAGGCTTCCTCGGGTCACGTGATCTGACACTGTGATCTCTCATGCTTTTCTGTGACAGATCTAGTGTTTACAGTTCAAAACTGCCTGTGACATTATACAATTTCTACCAACAAGCTCTCAAGGCCTGGAAGTTATGTTATGAACATAACGTTTCCCCACATAAAGCAATCTTGTGGAATAATGCTTGTATTACAGTAAATCGGAAATTTCTTTATTTACAGAGTTGGAAAGACTACCTTTTATCTGACCTTTTAGATCAGTCAGCTCAGTTTCTTTCTTATGAAACTTTCATGAATAAGTGGGCTTTTAATTAAATATAGAGAATATTATTCTGTGATAAAAGCCATTCCATTCAAGTCATATGTAGAAGTGGTCCTGTACTTTATTTAAATGGTGTGGACTTCAATAGTAAAAAAATGCTCCGATAAATTTATTAGAAATATATTTTATAAAAATAGGTCCTTTCAGCCTAGAGGGAAATTTTTCTGGAACATTTGCTTCCCAGAGATTATCTGGAAAAAAGCTTGGTCGCTTCCATTTCGGTTTTGCATACCAAACAAATATAGAGAAATACACTTAAAAATTCTTCATAACATTTATGTTAGTAATTACACTTTATCAAAATGTACGGAGATTGACGAGAATTGCTCATTTTGTCTGAATCAACCAGAAAAAACGCTACATCTTTTTTTTTTTGAATGTCATCATTCTAAAAAAATTTGGGAAAATCTATCTATATATGAAGAGTTCAGATGCAAAAGCCTCTAAATGCCATTTGAAATTTTCTTCTTTAATGAGGATTTTTATCAAACTTGTATATTTAAGTTCCGTAATTTCACTTAAATAACAATTAATAGGTAATTATCATTGCCATTTAAGTGAAATCACTGAACTTAAATATACAAGTTTGATAAAAATCATCATTAAAGAAGAAAATTTCAAATGGCATTTAGAGGCTTTTGCATCTGAACTCTTCATATTTTCAATGGAAATCAGGTCATAATTGTGTATTAACACCCAAAGATGTTATTATATATTTTGAGTCAAAAACTACATCTGTACATTTTATGATTAATCTTATGATTTTATTAGGCACATTTCACATTCATAAAAGTAAATTTAATAATTCTAAGCCTTGTTTAAAGTTTTTTTTTTTTGGCTGATTTTATGTTGTATATTGAGTCTCTTAAATGTATAGATAATAAGAAATGCTCTGACACAATTGTATTTGCTAAAGAATTGAAAATAATTAAACAGTGAAGAATTATGTTTTTCTCTTCTTCCTCAATACTGTCTTGGTTTGTAACCTTTCGTAGCTATTATATTTATAAATAGTTAAATTTGCCCCTATATTTAATTTTTTTTTTTAGTCTTTTCTTTTCTTTCCATTCTTTTTTTATTTTTTAATTTAGTCTCTTATTCATTTGTTAAACTAATTTTGGAAAATCTTGGATTGTTGTCTTTTTGGATGTCTAATTGGTCTAATAAAAAAAAGTGTTTACAGTTCATGACTAGTGTGTTATGAATGCAGTTGCTTGATGTGCAGCTTCTTGGAAAATGTCCTTTAGCAAACAAGAACCCAAAAAACGGATGAAACTCCTCTATAAAATAATAAAAAGCCTTACAACAAGCCGATGAACTCGACGGCGGTCCAGAAGAGGTCGCTGAGCACCGACAGCCTCCAGCGGCTCCGGCCGTCCAGAACCTGGCCTGCAGTACACGTTACACATCATAATATATATATATATGAAGGAAATCCTATGAATGAAATGAATCCTATGGCGAACGCGTTATGAATATCAAACACGTGACGGTGGCAGGTCAGTAAGCCAATGAACAGAATGACGCATGAATATTCAAACTGACGAGCCAATAAGATACAAATGCGTCAGCTTCGTTTTAATTAATATTCAGGAGATGTGTGTTTACCATATCGTTCGTAACATTCCTACCCGGATATCATCTGTAACATTAACAAAACCATATGTTGACCAGAGCGGGTCGTGTCGACACACACACATCAAACATCTCAGATTGACAGGAAAACCAGCAATAATACTGTATGTTTTCACAAGCACAATGACGCTAGATAAGACATTTCGCCACGTATGACAGTTAGCTGTATATGATAAGACTGGTACATGTCTGCGCTAAAAGAATAACATTATTTTTCTGAAAGAAACAGTTTTTTTAGCACTTACCGTTTGATACATAAACCATCGTTGCTGCTTTTTAACCGGATACTGTGGTGAACTTCCGGTTCTGCGCACTACGTCAATATTCGGTCGTGACGTTTCACTGTTATTTTCATAGGTATTTTCCATAGAATGTATTTTCCTATGGTATTTTTATCTGATTTTCAGGCAGTTAAAGTATTTTACTAGATTTATTATTATTATTTCAAAATTGCAGAATTCAATATCAAGTTCTTGACACATTTTGTTTTACACATTTTGTAAGTTAAAACAATAATTTATAAAAAAGACAAACAAAAAAACAAATTGTGTATGTGTGTGTGAGAGAGGGAGAGAGGGAGGGAGGGGGTTGAGAGAAAGAGAGTATTGCTGTAAGCTGATAGATGCTGTTTATTTGATTTACACATAAAGTTTGTACATAAAGACATGAGCCGTATTATCAAACTCATTTTGTAGCTGGTTTCCATATTCATAAGTGCAGATTGTATGGCATAGGCCTAAATATTTGTTTTTTGAACACACTGATTCACGGCTCTCTCTAAACCCGTAAAGTCTTGTAGTCTTTTAACTCGAGGACTGTTGAAGTGAAACCACATTCTGTAGTGAAACTAACATCTGTCAGTAACATCAGCACACACACACACACACAGCATTCCCCTGCTCACTTCATAAGCTGTTCTGGTTATAAAAAGTAGCCTATAATAATTAAAATAATAATAAACAATATTCAAGTTTTGTACAGTAGGTTATAGGTCATGGATGTAACAATACTGTATGTGTATATTGAAGTTATTAGTGTATTATTATGCATGTATGGCAGAGGCACTGCGGTATGAGTGGAGGCGGGGCTCATTTGCATATTCATAGAACCTTGTATACTAAATGAGGCAAGGGTTTCGAGTTACATTCAAGAGATATTATAAGGCATGAAGAATTTTTAATCATAAATATGTAATTTTGGAGATCAAAGATGAGTTTTAAGGGATAGGCTAAAGTGATCGACTGCAGGGATCATCTCGGCTTTTTGCATCACTTTAGACATGACTGGATCCGATCTTTGTGTCTACAAAATGATTCTGTTGGTGATCGCTTTACATGTGACATGGTTGTGTTATTAGAATTATTTATATAATTCACGTCGGGTGGCACATGATTACAGCAATGGCAGGCCTTCCAGAATATAATGGGGATTTTCATAAGACATTTTAAGTGTTTTTCTCTTGAATAATTTCTTAATGGCTTACAATATCGTGAATGTAACTCGACACCCTCGCTACATTTAGTATACGCGGTTCTATGAATATGCAAATGCGCCCCGCCTCCCCTCACTCACTCACTCAGAGATCCACTGGTTGACGATCACACGTTGATCTGATCTAAACGCTGGATTTACACCACAGGGAACTTTAAGAAAATAAAGTCGTTTGGTAACATTACATTTAGGCTAATTTTAAATGAATTAATGAGAGAGACGGAGAGAGAGAGATTTATTAAGATTTACAAAACACTCTTGGTGGTCACGGTTCATAACTACACATTTAATTTAGAATTCAGGATTTAACTGTTCAGGTTTACATTCATATATAGAGAGAGAGAGATCCATGTCCTGGCTGCGTTTGCATGTTCCTCATGTGTGGCCCGAATGTTCAGTACTGATGTCAGGCAGGTCAGGTCTCCACTGTGCCGGCGAAGGATCAGAAGTGCAGACGTGTTCCTTCATTACGGCCGCCGCTGATTCCCAGCATTACTCAGTCCATCATGGACAGACGCTGCTAATGAGCAAGTCCCATTTAATCAGCTAAACACACAGACTCTCACGAACCATGACATATGACCAGAATATTATCTATAATATGATTACATGGAGTTTGAAGTGGATTAGCACATGCATTTAAAGGGGTGGTGTAATACTCTTTCCACAAGATGTAAAATAAGTCTATGATGTGTGTGTCTATGTGTCCCAGAGTGTGTGTGTGTGTGTGTGTGACGCTTCAGCTCAAAATACCACACAGATATTTTTTTTATAATGTGTTAAAATTGTCACTTTTTGAGGGTGAGCAAAAACACACCGTTTCGTGTGTGTCCCTTTAAATGCACAGGGGGCGGAGCTTCAAGAGATTGTGTGTGTGTGTGTTACACAAAGTGCTGATGTGGAGATATCTTCTAGTCTAGTATCGTGTTCCGGGGGTGGGGTTATGTAAATATTAGAGCTAGTGATGTCACTAACCCGGGAGGAAGCTCGTGTAGTTCTACCAGCTGTTTATTGTAGTCCTTAACAAGCGATGTCTGTAAAAGTAAATCTGTCCCTTTGCTCTGATGTTGTTTATCCTCAAACTGCAACATTACACACTCACTACAGTTAGAAACGTGAAATCATATAATCAATAACCCCTTTAACTATTCAAATGCAATATAGAACCTATTTAAACAAACGCAGCCGTAACAGAGCAAAACCGTCATGCCCGTGCTTGACCACTGCAGTGAGAGCATGAAGAGACAGATGTTCTAATCCGCTTCAGTCGCACGTGTGAGGGGGTCCCGGCGAGACCCGGCTGCTCTTGCTGATGGAGGATAAGGTGGTCTCCTTCTCCGAGTGTCCCGGGTCATCGGCCCACGGGTTTCTGCCGCACAGGAGGAACGGCACGGCACGGTCCCGGAACTGAGACAGAGTTTCAGATCAAACATATCAGCTGAAAACTGAATTAAAGTGCCCCTATTCTGCTGTTTTGCAGGCTAACGCTAATGTTGACATTCATGAAACCCTGCAAAATGTTTAGTTTCAGGCAGAAGATGCTGATGATGTCTCTCTCACCATATTCCCAGGCTCAGTTCAGCTCTACCTGTTGATGAGTTCCCTGACTCACCTGTCGGTTCATGAATATGTAGATTATGGGGTTGAACGCCGTGCTGCTCTTGGCCAGGTACATGGGAACCGTGGCGATCACGGGGTCGACGTGAAGCTCAGGGTCTATGATCACAGACAGAGCGAGTGCGGCGTAGGGCAGCCAGGTGAGCAGAAAGGCCATCACCATGACGACCACCATACAGGCCACCTGGGTCTCGGCCCGCGAGGTGCTGACCCGCTCCGGCCCCTCCAGCCGGCTCACCTGCACAGGCACAACACACACCAGCAGCAGACGGCGCTCGTCAACAGAACAAGGAACAGCTGAGAACCGGTTAGAAACCGTGACAACTAATACATTATGGCGCCGTTTTATTCATAAACAATATTTATATTTAATATTTATATTTAAACAATATGAATGTAAGCCAGAGGAGAACTGGCCCCCGACTGAGCCTGGGTTCTCCCAACGTTTTTTCTCCATCCAATCTGATGGAGTTTTGGTTCCTTGCCACTGTCGCCTTGCTTTTGGCTTGCTTTGAGCTTGCTCAGTTGGGGTTATTTAGTGTTTAGCAATGTTGTTGATCTGTGTTGTGCTACTTTCATGTTATCAGTGTGAAGCTGCTTTGATACAATCTGTATTGTGAAATAAATGTGACTTGACTTGACTTGACATGACTAGAACTAAGGCAAGACGGTGACGAGGAAGACAAACACGACAGAGAAACCAAAACAGGGAACAGAACAAACAAGAAAAGTCCACCACAATTCGTGGAACATATGACAGCATTTACGTTTCTTATCTTTCCCTCGGGTCATTTCCAATTTTAAAAAAACATTTCGACCCGCGAGGGAAAGATGTTACAAAGTGCAAGGGAAGGGTGAAGGATAAAGTGCTGTAAACATCTATAAACGTACTACAATTTCTGATACAGACAAATATGAAAACGTCTTGCAATGAATGCAGCGATAGTGTCGGCCCAGATCCAGGACACGTGGACTCATGGTGCACCGGATGTATGTTGCGCTCATTAGCATAGAGCGGATGCCCTACCTGTCTCAGGGTCCACAGGAGGCGAGTGTAGGACACAACAATGACACAGAAAGGCAGAGCGAAGCAGAGAGAGAAGTAGCAGAGGATGTAGGAGACGTTGGCCCAGTTCCTGCTGTACCAGTCCGGCGCACAGCTGGTCCGAACGCCCTCCAGCTCGAACCCCCCCCAGCCAAACAGCGGCGGCGTGTTCCAGAGGAAGGACCAGAGCCAGGCCGCCACCACCCCGGCCACCGCATGCCTGGTGCTGAAGCAGATTGAGCCCACGGGCCGACACACCACCAGACAGCGCTCCAGCGCGATGACGGCCACCGAGCACAGGCCCGCGATGCCTGAGGAGCGACCCACAGCGTTACACATGCTGGAGCGACCCTGGTTCTCTTTCTAACATTTCTTTTTTATCAGCCCTTGAATGTGGGTAAGTTTCATGAAAAAGCAATATTTTAAACAAAAAGCTGAGAAAATAGTGTCAAAGTCTTCCTCCAGAAGGGCTTCAGAGCGATGATTAAACACAGACGGAGTAGATCGAGCTCATCGACGCCTCAAAGCTTCAGGCGTTTCCTCTTCATAGTTCAATATTCAGTATCGTTTTGATTTATATGCTGTTTAATTTTTATGGTTGCTATATTTTACATATGCATATGATTACACATTATTACCCCCACCGTATAACACGGAAAAGACGGAAAGCCAGAAAAACTTATCAATGGTGGGGAAAGAGTTAAAAGAACAATAGTGTCATTATTCAGCTCAGTTCAGTTCAGTTCAATAACTGTGTACATTTCATCAATTATAAAATTAGTTCAACTCATCTCTAGAGAAGACTACAGTGTCGTCGTTCACGTTGAATGAGTTCAGCGATGATTCGATTGAGTTCAGTAATGTTTATGTTACAACATAGACAATAGTGTCATTATTCATCTCAATTATGTTTACGTTTTGTTCTCTTTTCTTATATATAGTTTTGAGCCTTTTATTATTTTTTTATTTAAATTTCCAGAAAAAAAGTCCCTTCCTCGAGGCCAGTGGTTCTGAACTGGTTTGAAGGACCGCAGGTCTGTTCTGAGCATGGACATGGACCAATATAAAGCTAAATGTAAATTGTAAAAAAAGTCTGTCAAATTACTGGAAAAAAAACAGCAGCCAGACATTTACTGTAAATACAGTACATTGTAGGTTTTACAGACATGACTTAAATTTACAGTAAAAATGTATTTTGTTAACTATTATAATGATAATTTACAGATCTATTAAAGTATTAATATCTGTTTTGTACATTTGTAATACATTGACAACTATGTGACTTTTCCTCAAGAAAGTTAATACTAATTTATATAAGTATTCCCGGCCAGGTCAAGATTTGAAGTGCTATAGGAGTCTGACTGAATGGAGGTAATTTCAATAGTTAAATAGAATAATCAAACATTCACCTATATGCGATGATTAACTAACCCAATAGGGTATGCATTAAAGGCTGACAGTAGCCACTCACCGAAGAAGGCGACGGCGAAGCCCTCCAGCACACAGCCGGCCCGGCCCAGGCTGAAGTAGCCCATGGCATTGGTGACTGTGGTGGGCAGTCCTCCGAACACGGCACAGCCCAGGTCGGCCACGGCCAGGCTCACCAGAGCGAAGTTCAGCGGCTGCCGGAGCGACCTGTGCCTCAGCGTCACCGCCACCACCGTCACGTTCAGCACGATGCCGAGCACCGAGAACAGGCCGACGATGACCGCCAGGACCGTGTAGCCCATCCGTGGCATGAGGCTTTCGTTCGCTGCTCTGCTGGGCACATCGCCTCCCCATCCGGTCATGCCCATCTCCTCACACTGGACCTCACACAAGAACAGCTAAGCCACTGATAATAGCTGCAGATGAGGAGAATGGCATGACTCCTCTGCTCTTTTTATGTCTGAATATGGCCTGCTGGCTTACTGGGAAAATCCCTAGATCCGGATTGTGAATGGAATAATTCTGTCAGATTATGGAGATCTGGAGATCTATGATGGCACTCATCTTGATTATATCAGCCTTATTGAGCGATGAGGTCACAGTTGAAGACATTTCGCTGAAGTTAATTTCAGAGGAAGACTTGTGTATTAATCAAAGAGCCTTTCTGCTAACCTTCCTTTCATGAGATTAAAATGAGTTCGCCTGCCTTCTGAATCATAACAGTTAATTGAGTCCTCCCTGCTTATGTGTTCCTGCACACAGTGTTTTATAATGATTAGTTACGATTTCACCGAGACTGGATTACCAGAACAAGCGGTTTGGAGAATGGATGGACGATATCTGTTGCAGTGATGTTTATGTGGTATTCCTGAGGTGTATTATTGAGGTTGGAATACAGGGAACACAACTGTGACTGAGGTATGATCTGGGAATCACTGGAGTGATGAGTGTGTTGCTTCGTTTTTTGTTTTTTCTCCTGTAATACACTCTAAAAAAAAGCTATTTTTTCCACCCAAATCCTGGGTCGAGCCTTTTGGGTAAATTTTTGGGGGTTGTTTTTTTCAGTGTTCGGGTAGTTTTTGTGTTACTCAGCTCCTGGGTCAGATATAACAACCCAGGGGTTGAGTTATTCATTGCAGGCTTCAGGAGAGAGTAGTGCAACTTGGTTAAAATTGGTGTGTGTCTTTAGTAAAATAAAGGTTTGCATAAATTATTATTATTGTGCTCTATATCAATTAATTTTGTGCAAAGGAACATGCAGGGGTGCGATGCGAGTCACCTAAACGAGTGTCAAATCGATCTTTTCACATGATGGAAACGCTTTGCATTTTTTGATTTTATTAAAAAAAAGATACAGAATATAAATGCTTATAAAGTTAAAATATGTTGTGAGAACTGTACACTGATTGTTTATGGACAGGTTGAGTCAGGGTTAGGGAATGTCCTGGTTGCAGAAGGAGGGAGCGGAGGACATAATCGCCGTCGACTGCCAGGGAGCCAATCGTCTTTGAGTACTATTGAACGAGCCAATGGGAATTGGAGTGCGTGATGGCATCACACACTCCGCCCCCGCAGCCTTGGTATAAATACGGAAGTGGATGAACACACTAGTTGCTTTTCCCTCCTTCAGGGAACGGTGGGATGCACACGCAACCAGGACGTCCCCTTTCATTCGAGAACGTTAGACATAGTCGACGTAGACTGAATGGGGATAACCATTGAAAACGCCACTAAAGCTGCCACCTTCCAGGGCCTAAACAAAAGCCTCCAGACCCAAACCCCCCCACCGCAATTTAAGGCGGGAATAGGACAGGGCTTAGGCCAGGGAAGTCACTGCTGTTCCTACAGGACCACTGGGAAAGCGTTCCCTACATATGAAAGGAACACTCTAAAAAATGCTGGGTTGTTTTAACCCAACTTTGGGTCAAATATGGACTAACCCAGCCGTTGGGTTAAATTTTTACATTACATTTTTAACCCAACATTTCGGGTTTGTCCATATTTGACCCAAAGTTGGGTTAAAACAACCCAGCATTTTTTAGAGTGAAGGGACGCTGCAGAAGCCACATCCTGCCCAAAGGGAAGTAACATGTGGAGAAAACACAACTGAACTGGGGAACTGGGCAAATAACCGGGCAGTACAACATATGAAATGTCTCTGGGGTGGCTAGACAACAGTCATGCAGAAGCGATCGCATCAACGCCATGAGCAGCCTCTCGTTTCCTCGGAGCCGGGTTACATACAGAACCTAAGTCGATTTTAGTACAATGGTGTATTAATATTTAGTAATTATACAATTTTTTTTATGTAAATCTAAATTCAATTAATAAAACTTTGTTTACTGTAAAAATTCTGGCAACCACAATTGTCAGATTTTTAGCATCAGTTCACTTTTTTAACTGCTTATGAATTCAGCAATGCTGTTTTACTAGCACAAAATGTCATTATGTGAATGAAATATGGTGCTTGTTTGACCTGTTTTGCTACAAGATGTCAGTTAGTATGGTACTTTATTATAATGCATGACATAACTTTGTAGTGTAGCTTAAAGTTCCCATGTGGTCAACAATTTTGGCCCTTAAAACTCATCTTTGATCACCAAAATTACAAATTTAAACAGTTCTATGAATATGCAAACGAACCCCGCCTCCACGCACTCACTCACTTACTCAGAGATCCACTGGTTGACGATCACACGTTGGTCTGATTGGCTACAAGGTCGTTTGTGACGTCAGAAACACCAGCGATTTCAAACCGTGTTTTGTCGACTTATGAATTTATACATGGTTTGTCTTAAAGAGTATTAAAACACCACATAGACACATAAACAACATTAAACACTGGATTTACACCACGGGGGACTTTAAGTATTTAACTCCTGAATAATAATAGCACCTGGCGACAGAAATAGCCTGTTTTGAACTAAGGATTGCAGTTGAAGTCTTAAAACTACAAAGAACAATTAAAGTAGGGTTGCCAAAGTGAAATTACAGCAATAATAACCCGTGCATAAACTGTCGAGCAAAGCTGGTCTTTCCTCATAATTCCTCTGCACTGTTCATGCATTTTTGAAGTTCTCTGATTCAGGCAATGAATAATTCATTCCTGGTTTTGGATTTGCCAAACATGCACTTCTCTGGGTTTGCAGTCCAGATTTGAGCTTTACATATGTCTGAGTTCAAAAGCCAGGGGATAAATCATGTGTGGTACAGTTATTAAAATTGAATTATGCTCATTATCATAATTTCCCTAAACTGTCCCATAGCCTTCAGAGAAAGCAGTGTAATATGATGCAGTATTTTATTCTTTTATTAATTATATTATTATTTTATTTATATTCATGAGTTTCCCAGACATGCGTATCGCTGAATTATGCCGAAACTACGATTGCTAGCAGTTTTAAGAGTTCTTATGCACCAGGTTTTGTCGTCCGTTATCTGTCATCAGGTATTTTATTAGTGTTACCATTTATTGAATACATCAATTTAAAAACTAAAACAAACCTGCATGAACGAGGCCAAATATTATTATTTTTTTATCTATTCTGGTATGATTGTTTTTAAATTCTTGTTAATTTATATATATATAGACACTTCCATTAAAAAGTATGGTATTGATAAGATTCTTTATGTTTATTTTCAATAAAGATGCATTCATTTAATTTTTTTAATGGTCAAATAACTATAATATTGTGAAATATTATTCCAGTGTAAATAAGTGTTTTCTATGTGAATACAGTAAAGTGTAATTTATTCCTGTGATCAAAGCTGTATTCTCAGCATCATTACTCCAGTCTTCAGTGTCACATGATCCTACAGAAATCACTCTAATATGAGGATCTGATGATCAAGACACATTTATGATTATTATCAGTGTCGTTGAACACACAATAGTGCATCTTCAGATGTGTGTGTGCGGAAAACCTTGTGTGTGTTTTCAGGATCACAGATGAACAGAAATTTTGAATAAAAGCATTTAATTGAAATATAAATCTATTGTAACATTATAAATGTATTTGTGATCCAGTTTATTTGAAGAATAAAGTCATTCCTGACTTTTGAATGGTAATTATTGCAAATACATTTATGCATTATTAATTGTGGTAAAGTGTGCAAATATTTTTTGGGGCCATTGTATGTTTTTTTCTGTTGTTCTAAAATAGCTTTAAATATTTTAACATATTCATTAAAATGTAAAGAGTGGTAAAAATGTCTGAATCCAAAAGACTAGAAATGTCATAAATGTTTTACATATTGATCTGAGAATAGCTTTATTATGTGTCATTCTTTATACACTCTCAGAAAAAATGTACATATCTGTCACTGTGGTGTTCCCTAAACAGTGCATATTAGTCCCTCAAAGGTAAATATTGGTACCAAAAGTGTACAGTACATAAATGATACATATTAAACCCATTTGTAGGGTATGTCCCAGTGACAGCTTTTGTACTAAGAGTGTGTGAGCTAGCGTGTGCTGTTGGCGAGCCCGAAGCCCATCTACAGCAAACACACGTCACCGTCTCTCAGAACGCGTCCACTCTATGACATGCTGGACATCCAGTAATCAGAGAAGAATCACGGCCTTATAGTCCCATCTTTATTCCAGGGCATGTGATATCATGTGATATTTCAAGTCAAAAGTTGCCCCTATATTTCATTTGCAATATATATATATATTGCATTTGGACCCAACACCTCTTTTTTCCGAAAAAAAGTTTTAATTATCAATCTTTCATCAATTATTTTATTTCAGTTGTTACATCACAAGGTACAAAGGAAGAGAACAACGAACTGAATCAAGTGAATGTCCTTCAATCATGCATGACTGCACAAAATGTGTAAACTAACAAACACATCATTAACTGCTAAAGGTAAACTTAATATTAGGCAACATTTATTAAAATAATCCAGTAAACCTGCTGAGATGACCTCAGCTCTGGGAAACTCATGAATATTCATGTAATCTCCGAAAATCTCCTGAGATTGGAGCAATTTTTCTGACCAAACGCGCATGGGCGAGTGACGTGCCTGTGCAATTTCCCGCGAAAACCATCCCCACATGTCTATGAACACGTTAGACAAAACATGTTCGGGAAGATTGATGATGTATGTTGAAAAAAAAAAAAAAAAAAAAAAAAAAAAAGAACAAGTAGTGGGATAATGATATCAAAAATAGTGGCTATTCATGGAACTTTTTTTTTTTTTTCTGAATCATTCCTCTGTTTATTTTTTTTAATTAATACGTGCTTCAGAATGTTGAGATTAACATTCAAAGGCAATGAATAATAATAATTAAGAGTTGCATATATAACAGGAGCATTCAGATAACATTCAGAAATAACGTTGGGAACGTGCGAAAAGCGTTCCTCGAACACATATTTCTCATCAAATAAATAAAAAATAAAAAATAAAAATTGAAATATGTTCTGTTATGTGCGTGTACGCCGTGGCCCAGCAGGTGCTCGCCCAGTGCCGAGTTTGCATCGTCTCTTTCACTCACTCTGTCGCGTCGCGTCGCGTTCACCGTTTCGTCATCGCATCTGACAGCGGACTCTCCTGTGAAGAACAGCAGCTTCATCCCCAGAGAAGAGGAAGAAAGGGAAGACATGCACACTCTCTCCTTTCTTTCCGCGCACTTCATCTGAGAGAAACTGCAGCACGAGCACAGACACATGCACGCGCTTCCCTCGTCATCTCTCCGCCTGGACACACACAGACACACACACACACACACATGTGCTGTACGCAGGGCTAGTCTGCAGCTGAGTTTGTGAACGCAAAACCCTTCATCTCTTCAGAAGACCTGGACATCATTGAGCATGAAGTGTGTGTTGTACTGTGTGTTCCTCCTGTGGATTACTCTCCACACCCGCGTGTGCGCGTCTCCTCAAGGCATTCCCCTGGCAGTGTGAGTACACTTTAATATATCAAACATCAGGTGTTTTAGTCTGTTTGTCGTCCTATTTATTTCGTGCAACTATTGCTGACAGAGAATCACATTAACACGTTGTAATTTTGTCTCAAATGTATACTGTTAGACATTATTAAGCCCACGCTGATCCTGGTTATGAATTCCCTTACATCAACATTGCTTGTTTATTACCTTTCAACAGTTCCACCTCAAAGTTTTTAAACTTTCTTTTGATTTTAAAGTTAACGATACAAGACAATTATATTTTAAAGGAGATATATTAGCTTATACACTCTTAAAATTAAGGTTCTTTATTTACATATGGCTCCATAAAGACAAACTTTTCTATTCCACAAAGGGTTCGTTATAGTGGACATTTTTTTTTATTATTAAAATGTACTTCAAGTTATGATAAATATGGTTAATTTAAGAACTGATCATTGAAAGTTTCTTTGTGGAAGCAGAAATGGTTGATCACTGCAACAAAACAACAACAACAACAACAAAAAAAACTAATGAGATCTTTATTTTAAGATTGTCAAATACACATTATCACAATTATATAAGATTTTGATGTATTTATATAAGATGTGGTTTGAATTGAAATACACTTGTCAACGGATTATTAGGAACACCATACTAATATTGTGTTTGACCCGCTTTCGCCTTCAGAACTGCCTTAACTCTACGTGGCATTGATTCAACAAGGTGCTGAAAGCATTCTTTAGAAATATTGGCCCATATTGATAGGATAGCATCTTGCAGTTGATGGAGATTTGTGGGATGCACATCCAGGGCATGAAGCTCCCGTTCCACCACATCCCAAAGATGCTCTATTGGGTTGAGATCTGGTGACTGTGGGGGCCAACGATGCCCATGGGGTAAAGTGTGCCAAGAAAACATCCCCCACACCATTACACCACCACCACCAGCCTGCACAGTGGGAACAAGGCATGATGGATCCATGTTCTCGTTCTGTTTACGCCAAATTCTATTCCTACCATCTGAATGTTCAACAGAAATCCAGACTCATCAGACCAGGCAACATTTCTCCAGTCTTCAACTGTCCAGTTTTGGTGAGCTCTTGCAAATTGTCGCCTCTTTTTCCTATTTGTAGTGGAGATGAGTGGTACCCGGTGGGGTCTTCTGCTGTTGTAGCCCATCTGCCTCAAGGTTGTGTGTGTTGTCTGCATACCTCGGTTGTAACGAGTGGTTATTTCAGTCAAAGTTGCTCTTCTATCAGCTTGAATCAGTCGGCCCATTCTCCTCTGACCTCTCGCATTAACAAGGCATTTTCGCCCACAGGACTGACCCATACTGGATGTTTTCCCCTTTTCACTCCATTCTTTGTAAACCCTAGAAATGGTTGTGTGTGAAAATCCCAGTAACTGAGCAGATTGTGAAATACTCAGACACCAACAACCATGCCACGCTCAAAATTGCTTAAATCCCCTTTCTTTCCCATTCTGACATTCAGTTTGGAGTTCAGGAGATTGTCTTGACCAGGACCACACCCCTAAATACATTGAACTGCCATGTGATTGGTTGATTAGATAATTGCATTCATGAGAAATTGAACAGGTGTTCCTAATAATCATTTATGTCAGTGTATGTTGCGCTTATCTTTCCTAACCCAATATGTTGAGCTTCTGTCAAATTCATGTCCTCATATTTTTGTTCCCTGGTTCTAGTGTGAAACTTTGGGCTTCAGCCTTTGGCGGAGAGATTAAGTCCATCGCTGCCAAGTATTCCGGCTCTCAGTTGCTGCAGAAGGTAGAACACTACACCAACACTAGATCACTACACCACCACTAGATCACTACACCACCACTAGATCACTACACCAACACTAGATCACTACACCAACACTAGATCACTACACCAACACTAGATCACTACACCAACACTAGATCACTACACCAACACTAGATCACCACACCAGCACTAGATCACTACACCACCACTAGATCACTACACCACCACTAGATCACTACACCACACACTAGATCACTACACCAACACTAGATCACCACACCAACACTAGATCACTACACCACCACTAGATCACTACACCAGCACTAGATCACTACACCACCACTAGATCACCACACCAGCACTAGATCACTACACCAACACTAGATCACCACACCAACACTAGATCACTACACCAGCACTAGATCACTACACCACCACTAGATCACTACACCACCACTAGATCACCACACCAGCACTAGATCACTACACCACCACTAGATCACTACACCAGCACTAGAACACCACACCAGCACTAGATCACTACACCAGCACTAGAACACTACACCAACACTAGATCACTACACCACCACTAGATCACTACACCAGCACTAGATCACTACACCGCCACTAGATCACTACACCAGCACTAGATCACTACACCAGCAGTAGATCACTACACCAGCACTAGATCACTACACCACCACTAGATCACTACACCACCACTAGATCACTACACCAGCACTAGAGCAATACACCAGCACTAGATCACTACACCACCACTAGATCACTACACCACCACTAGATCACTACACCAGCACTAGATCACTACACCACCACTAGATCACTACACCACCACTAGATCACTACACCACCACTAGATCACTACACCACCACTAGATCACTACACCACCACTAGATCACTACACCAACACTAGATCACTACACCAGCACTATATCACTACACCAGCACTAGGGCTCCTGCTACACGGTACTCTAGTGTTCTCTGAAGTGCACCCTCTCATTGTCATGCTGTATGAACACATGCTATTTTTGAGTATTAATATAAGGTTTTATCTCTTTCTGTGGTCCTTTCAGCACAGAGAAGTGTGTGTGTGTGTGTGTGTGTGTGCTTCTGTTCCTGCAGCTCTCAGTTATCACACTCTTCCTCACATACAATCTACGCTAATTAAACCACCCACGAGTAGCAACCCGCTTTGCCTCGGTGTGTGTGTGTGTGTGTGTGTGTGCACTGTGTATCTCTTCCATCGCTCGTGCGTTGTGTGTGTGTGTGTGTGTGTTTTTTTGTTCTCAAATTAGTTTTCAATTTGAGAATGGAGAAATTATACTTAGCAAAATGTAACTATTTAAAAATTACACTGCACAAAATTATTTTCTTACTCAGTATATTTGTCTTGTTTTTCAGCACAAATATCTAAAAATTCAAGATTGAGATACATTTACCCGAGAAGAAAAATGGAAAAAAAAATATATAAAAAAATATAAACATTTATTTTTTTTTTTTATATTTTTCTCCATCAGCCAAAAATAAAAATACACAAATAAACTTGTTTTTCCTTTAATTTAAGTTTTATTTTTCTGACCTCGTTGGCAGATATTTTTTTCTTGTTATCCCAACAAGCATTTTTAAAAAGTTTTTTTTTTGGTTCTGTGAAGGTTAAGGGAACTTTCCATGGCATCATTCTTCACACATTATGGGAATGTTACTTTTTAATGTTCTGAAACAAGTATAAACTCAAAAGTATTTTATGTTTCTTTTTTTATTTGTCATGGTACCAGATGAAGTCATTCCGATCTACCGAAACTGACGTTTCTGTAATAGATCAGATGTTATGAGTGATTAGTGTGATTTTCTTTTGACACCATTGGGCTGGTTGGAGTTCAAACTGTTTTAATATTAAGGGAAAAGACAGTGGCAGTGGATGTTTGTGGCGTGTGTGCTTCTAAAGCAGAGGAGATGGGAGCCCGAGGGGCAGATTATCTGTGTGACGGGTTAAAAAGAAGAAAGAGAGCATGCCTGGTGAGCAGACAGAAAAGCAGCGAGCAGAAAATAACAGTGTAGCGGCAACAGAAGGGAAGAAAGGAGAGACGTATGACAGGAGGCCTAGAGGAAGAAATGTGCACGGAGGAAGAGAAGAGACTGGGAATGTAAAGTAGAGTAATGTGAATGAACTGGTGTAAGTGTGTCCTGCGGCTCAATCACTGTGTGTGTGTGTGTGACCTTATTGACAAATGAAACCCTGCGCAACAGTTCCAGAAGTAAAAACTACATTCATTTTCTTCAAAGAGAAACTGATTTTGAACAAGTACTTCTAAACCTTTACTGTGAGCTACGAGGTGGTTTTTGCTTCCCCTGAAGCTGTAAAAAATGAGTTGTAGATCTTCGCCTCGAGAAGGGTGTTCTTGCGCCGATCGCACTCCCACTTCCGGCGTATCCAGTCGGTCACACAGCTCACTGTAGTGCTGGGCCTTGGCTATTGCTACAGCGGATTTGACACTCTTGTACACCGTACAGACTAGGGATGGGACGGTATGAAAATTTCACATCAGGATTATAGTGTCCAAAATTTCAATCAATATTATTTCAAAATTTCAAATCATCAATATTATCACGGTTTTGTTAAAATTAGATGAAAGTGTTCAAAAAGAACTGATGCTCACACTGAAAACCTTTCAACAAGTTTTATAATTGAAAATCAACAAACAGGTAAGATAATCTCATTATCAATTCAATATCTCCCTGTAATTATGTGGTAAAAATAAAATCGGTAGAATACATGATCTATCTATACGTTACTATCCCTTAAAATGTCACTCTCTTAATAATAGTTTTGTTTGAAGTTGTTGGTTCGTCTTAGGCTCAAAGCCACTTGCTGCAAACCTTTCTTTGCGGAAGCTTCACGTCTATTTCAAGTGAGTGACATAACGGGCCCTATCTTGCACCCGGCGCAAATGACTTTATACACAAACGCATGTCTCATTCCTGTTTTGCACCCGCGCAAAGCGGGATTTTCCCCTCCACAGACGTACGTCGGTAAACTAGGGAATGAACGTGGCGGATTGGCGCAAAAAGGAGGCGTGTTTCGGCGCAAACATTCCCCGGTGCTATTTTACACTTCCAGAACACAATTGCGCCACTGATCAGAAAACACCTGGTCTAAAGTCAGTGGCGCGTTGCGTGTTGTTCACAATGCTATTTTAAGCGCGCATGCTTGCCCATAATGTAGCGGGTGCACAGCGCGCATACACTTTCTCTCATCAACACAGATGCAGTAGTTTTTATTTTTGCAAATCATACATTATAACAAGGAAAAATATTAACACATGAGGGAAATCATTGTGGTTTACATGAAGATGAAAAAACCTTATTACCCATTTTTTAAAGGTTAATTGTAGTACTAAAGGATCAGACCTGTCCACTGAGCAAAGTGATGTCCAAAAGACGTCTTTTCAAAGTCTTTGTCACAAAAGTCAGACGTTGAAAAGACGTCCACTGAGGGGCCGGAATGAAAGTTTTTATGACGTCTTTTTTTGACGTGTTCTGGACGCCTGAAAAAGACGTCAATAGATCCTTCGTACAAGGTTAAAAACTAGTTCAAATGTGGCCATTTTCAACATTATTTATGGCCTCATTTAGACAATTTATACTGTTTCTGGACCAAATAAACACTCATCAAATAAAGATGAAAAACCGCACTCTCCAGTTATATAGTCGTCAGTGTGTGATGGCTGAGGCTGAAACGTGTCTGTGTGGACAGGGTAATAATAAAAAAAAGATATGAGATATAACTAGAGAGTGTGGTTTTTCATCTTTATATGCGTTCTTTACAGTGAATGAATGTGTGTTTTTATATATTATCTGCTGTTATTATCTTATTATCATGCATGTGTTCAAACTGTGCCGTCTCATTCTGCATCATCATCATCATCTTCATCACACCTTGCACTGCTCAAGCTGAAATAATCCTGCTATTGGAAAGATCTCATGTTTCAAGGTTAAATCAAGGGAAACGGATGAGCAAGGAGTCTGTTGGTGTGTGTGTGTGTGTGTGTGTGTGTGTGTGTGTGTGTGTGTCTGTATCACAGGAAGTGATCAATATCTCCCTGATCAATACAAGTATTCAGCTTAAAATGTTCATATGTGTGCCATAGATATGCTCACAGTATGTGTAAACACAATTCTTTCCATAAAATGAACACAAATAAAGCGCCGTCGGAATAATGTGAAGTAGTGTGTGTGTGTGTGTGTGTGTGCGGAACAGACTGAAACTGAAGTCACTGTCCACAGATCATCTTCCCCTCAGCTGAAGTATGTATCCGTATATGGTCCAGGGTGAGGAAATAACAGCAGTTTTGCATTGACATGAAGATAAGTGAAGGATGACAGAATTATATATTTTAGGGGTAGGCCCAGTCTAGGTCTGAGTCCCTGCGAAACGGCTTGAAGAGATCATTTTTCCTTTAGGCATTGGCATATTTCTGTATTTATATATGTATATATATATATTAATAGCCCAATTTTGTTTACAACCCAGTATTAGTTAAATGACATTATTTTAGGCATTCGGTATTTGATGACTCACTCTTGAATCTCATCGGATTTTCTGAGTCAACAAAATTGATCTGTATTGATAGGGGATTTCGCACTTTCCACTTCAGCCAAGATTTGATTTACATTTATCATCTTGACTTTTTTGAAAGAAGAAAGGAATGATGTAACTCATGTTAAACATCACGTCCTTTGCAGTTGATTGGGAGGAAATTCTGATGAATCATTTGTCATCATGCAAGACTTGCTATAGTTCAGCTAAAATTGTAGTTTCTTATAAATTATTCATCAGCAGTAACTTTTTTTGGCTGTAAATAAGTGTGTTAGAACGTAATTTGCATTTACATCAAAACAACCTGATTAATGCACGTTTTTGCGTTACTTCATGATGTAATGTAAAGTAGGACATTAATGCATTGATCATTGTTTTTACATGATTTTATATAATTTTATGCATTGGTTTGTTAAAAAACAAACAGTATTGCTGTGATTACTGCATCGTGTAAAAATGCACACCGTCCACTCAAGTGGACATCTGATAATATGTGTAAAAAGATTTCATTTCCTAAGAGCACTAAAGAAATCCTGACTGAGGTTGTCATAATTCATGCATGATAGGGTTAAGTTAGCTGGCTATGAACTTCAGGACAAAATGAACAAAATGTTTGAGATGTCTTCCTTCACATATCCCGCACGTATCCATTATCAGAGAATAACGTATTATAATCAGTGAGGTTAATTATAGATGCAATCATCAGTGTGCAAATGCATGTGAATGCAGAGCGTCCACAGCACTGGGTGAACCACACTTCATCACATCTCTAACGGCAGAACCGGGTTCAGCAGCATCGAGTTCTGCATCGTCATGCGGGTCTTTAAAGGGCGTTAGTGTCACTGGGACGAGCTTCTGGAGACTGGAGGAGATGTTCAGCTCTGACACACACACACACACACACACAGATAACATCAGTGTAGCAATGTGTGTAGATGTTATGTGTGTAGATCTGTTGGATGTGATGTGTGTAGATGTGATGTGTGTGGATGTGATGTGTGTAGATGTGATGAGGATTTCACCTCATACCCTTTCATTTGAAGCCGCCGTTTCGCATATGTGCAGTCTCCTCTCCAAAGCCTCTTCAACACTCCAGCTTGTTGCTAAATGGATTCCATCACCCCCTGTTCATGGGCCATTAACTGTGTTTCTCCAGGGCCTCCTTCATGCCTTCTTTCATGCTAATTTTCCTGCACTCCCATTTGTTCATCTCTGCTGGAGCATCCCCTTTGGAGGAAACAGTAAAAATGTAAACTAGCATCCGTCTACAGCCGCATCTATCCTCAGACTGTCCCTGATTGTGCATATTCATTCAAATTGAGCTCAGAACTTTTGTTTATTTTGTTTATGATGTAGCAGTGTGCATACAGTCATTCGAAAGCATGATGCCATGAGTAATTGACTCCTGATGGTAAAGTGACCATGATGTTACTGAGAAGTAAGTTAAAAGTTACCTTTTTAAGTTCCCGCTCTGGGAACGGATGCCGACTACGCCAAACAGAGCAAATGCTTGGTCACCGTGCCCTAAAGCTCAAGACTGTAACTGATCCGGCGGTAGGACTGGTCAGGTAGACCGCAGACCCACTGCATCATCCAGCCAATAGGGGCAGAGTAGAGCGCTTGCTATCCAGAACCTCGGCCATCGGCTCCAAGTGGGAAACCTATTCCAAGGGAGCAAGTATTCAGTATAGAGGAGCGCCATAGTGCGCTCTACCGAGGAGCTTTTGTTAACTAACACACATGCTTTAGACATCGGCACTTGTGAAGCGTTCCCGTAGCATGAACACCATGATGACGCAGTGTTGAGTTCTACTCCAAAGGGGAAATAATGTTTCTGTGCTAATGTTTTGAGAATATTAAATAAAAACCAGATAACTTTGGGTTTTTACTAGACTTTACTAGAATAATGTTTGTTCAAAACTAAGTAAATGTTGTCCAAAGTTCTGAAAATGTTGGGGAGACACACAGATGCTCGGCTAGTGGAGTGAAGAGCCACGTCTCCAGCTTTGAGATAAGGTTTGGCCTCGAGTGGATTGAAGGGCTTTGAGAGTGAGGTTATGGGAGCAGGAAAAGGATTAAATTCACTTTCATCCCCACATAAGCTATGAGCACTTCTGACGGTCTCTTCCTTCTCTGTCCTTACAGTGAACACACTAAACACTAAATATAAACTAAATGAATACAGTTTTAAATCACAAATTATCTTTAGATTAGATTCAATTTTTGTTATTGTTCTATGTGTTATTGTTATTTGTAATTATTTCCTCCTTAAAACTACAGTGAACCAAAGACAGTCTCAAAAACACGCTTTGAAATCGCTGGTGTTTCTGACGTCACAAACCACCTTGTAACCAATAAGATCAATATGTGATCTGAGTGAGTGGAGGCGGGGCTCATTTGCATATTCATAGCACTTTGCATACTTAATGAGGCGAGGGTGTCGAATTCAAGCTTGCTGCACAAGTCCTGAAACAGTTTTTTACAGTGTAAATTCAGATTTTTTAAGGCATGAAGATTGTTTTTTTTTTTTCAAGGAAAAATCCTTTATATCATTTTGGTGATCGACGATGAGATTTAAGGAATATGATTATCGACTACAGGGGGACTTTAATGTGCAATTGCTATTTTAATGCAAATGACAATTAATGAAGGTGCAGTAAGGTCATGAAATATCAGTAACATTTTGTGGGCAAAAATGTCTATTGCCAGTAGTGTAGTGATGTATGAGACAGCTCATGTAGAAGACATTTCAAACGAAGCATCTTTCTGTTGGTCAATGCAGCAAATGACTGTAAAGTCCGGATAACAATCTTTTGCTCTCACGTGAAATTGGTACGGTCTTCGATTCAGGTCACATTTATTTGTATAGTGCTTTTCACAATACATATTGTTTTACAGGAAATGCAATGGCCTTGTCTATGTGTGTTGTGCAGTGAGGATGACATCACATCTGTTTCTGCAGCTGTACCAGACTGGCCAATGAGCAACGAGGACCGGAATTATTTGTTTTATGATTGTCATTGTCAAATGTCCTCGTTTCTGTAGAAGTACAAGGAGTTTGAGCCGTCGGTGAGGGTGGAGGAGATCGATGGAATCAAACTGGTGAAGAGACTTGCTAAGGAAATGGAGCAGATGTTTCACAAGAAGGCTGAGGCCATAAAGGTGAGTGTGTGTGTGTGTGTGTGTTCATCAGACTTTATCTGCATAAAGTTTGGCCCTTGGGAAATAAACATGCAATTCAGACTATATCACGCAATTGCGACTTTATATCATAATATTCTGTCTTTATATCACCCAATTGCATGTTATAAAGTCAGAATTGCAATTCTTAGAATAAAAAGTAAGAATTTCAAATTTATTTCTCACAATTGCGATTTTATATCATGCAATTGTGACTTTTATAACTCACAATTCTGAGATAAAAAGTCACAATTACCTGTTTTATTTTTTTATTCTGTGGCGGAAACAAGCTTCCATACCATTTAACTCGATAACCTTTCAGTGATCCGTTCTTTAAAAAAAATCTAAAGATCTGTTTTCTTCCTTGCAATATTCCAAGTTTTTCGATTCTTCATAATGGAGCCGAATGCAGATAAAGAACAGATAAAAAATAAAAACAGATAAAAAACCTTTATTTTTGCAGATAAAAACCTTTATTTTTAAGAGAACCTCCTGAAGTGTAAATCAGTATTTAGACATCTCTATATTAACATGGATGGATTGTGATGAAAAACACATTAATCATCATCCGCAAAATCAATTGCCAGCCCTGGATTTAAGTGTTTTCTGTTTTCATTTATAACGCAAAGATATATACACATTAGTGTGTATAGAGACAACACATTAGTCTAGTGTCTAATATTATAGTGCCTATTCGAATCCACTGTGAGACACCAATGTGTCCCTGAGTAGACACTTAACCCCTAGTTGACCCAGAGGCGTGCGACCTCTGACATATAGAGCAATTTTAAGTTGCTTTGGATGCTAAACGCTAAATGAATGCTAAAATAAATAAATGTAAATGTAATAGTGTGAGTGAGAGATAGAGAGATTCTTGTCCTGAAGCTGTGCGTGTGTGTGTGCGTGTGTGTGTGTGTGTGTGTGTGTGTGTGTGTGTGTGTGTGTGTGTGTGTGGTAGATTAATATCGGTCTGTCTTGTCCTCCAGCGGTTGGTGGAAGCAGCAGAGGAAGCCCACCTGAATCACGAGGAGGATCCTGACCTACAGGTGAGCATCAACAGCAGTTACCATGGCAACCGCATCTCTTCATCAGGGCGACGGCACTTACCGACCGATGTTCAGCTTTAACTGCTTAGTATTGAAACTTCTGTTGATCTCAGCATGAATCACATGACCTTCCCTTGATCTCATGTTAAACATGCACCGAAGTCTCATAATACTGAAGTGCATTGAACAAAGCAATTTGAATTAAGCATACTGTATATGTCAAAGTTTAGCTGTTTATCATTCTCTGAGGGCATCCATTAGTGAGACACCCTCATGTAAAGGTCGGAGGTTAATCTACCGTAAAAAGCCATTTATTTCCTCCCAGTGAAAGCCTCAGGTGGTCTCAGTCTTCACATGAGCTCGACGCAACACTGCACATTTCCCAGTCACATCAACACCATTACTGGAACTCTCACAGCCATGAAACCTCAGTCAAACGTACTAACTTTGTGATAAAAATCCATATGACTATTTAGATATGGAAACGCTTTCAGTGTTGTTGAATAAGCATCCCACACCCAGTAATCATAGTTAAATTCATCCCAATTTAAAATCCTAAATCTCAAAGATGTTTGATATGATCCGGGTGACCCAGTTGTCTCTGTGAGCAGATCGGGAGTTTTACGGCTCACATTACCAGATCATGTGACCCGATCACTGTAACCAGAGAGGGGGAAATCAGTGCTAAATCAGCACGTGCGCTGTCAGAATATGCTACCTTTTCTTTCACAGAAACAACTCTGGGAGTAAAACTGAAGACAGTAGTTCACGCCGCACTGACAGAGTTGGTTTTAATCCAGCCAAACTCGTCCAGTGTGAACACAGCCTAGATCTCGAGTTGGCTCTGAGGGTTTATTCGCCGTGAATATGAAGCCAGTGATGCTGCTTTACGTTGAATTTAGCCTGTAGTGATGATATGGGGAAGTCAAACATTAGAAGAAGCCAGAAATAAATAAATAAAGTGTGAATCCTCCTTGGAGACGGTCTCTCCTGGTTTTGGCTGTTTGTTGGGCTTCTGCTGGCAGTGAGTGTTTTCTTATCTGCTCATAACAGAGCGCTCATAATCTGTTCCAGCGCTCTCGCTGTCTGACGCCGCCAATCCTCAGGAAATAACCATGCAGCAGAGAGCTGATTATACGCATGCGATTTCACACACAGAACCATACGTTATCCAGAGAGTTCTTGTTTTTCCACTTTTGGTTCTGTCAAAATCATTTATGCACATATTTACATTTACATGTATTAATTTGAAGTCCCCTGTGGTGTAAATCCAGCGTTTAATGTCGTCTATGTGGTGTTTTTAATATGCTTTAACTCAAAACCATGTGTAAATCGTCAACCAGTGGAAGTGAGTGAGTGGAGGCGGGGCTCATCTGCATATTCATAGAACCACGCATACTAAATGAGGCGAGGGTGTCGAGTTACACTCAAGGTGTTTTAATACATGAAGACATTTTTTTCAAGGAAAGAACATTTGAATGTCATTTTGGTGATGAAAGATGAGTTTTAAGGGATTGACTATTGACTTTATTTTGATGCTCCCCATAGAAATTCTACTTTGTAAGACTGACCCGAACAGTCTCCTAATACTCAGCTAATACTCTACGGGGAGTCAGTTGTGGGCATGTTTGCAGCTTTGCCCGATCTCCATGATTCCTGCCGTGAACGGGTGATGGACGCTGAATCAGTGAATCTGGCCTGTCCTCTTCTCTCCTCTATCTGGAGGATCTGAAGCTCGACGGTGTCTGCTCTACACCTGCCAAGAGAAGTTACGCAGATTAAACCCAGCGCTGGAGATTCAGCTCATAATCTGCTCTCGCTGCTGTCGTGTGACATTTACTACGCCCAGGAAAAGAGTGCAGAATTAAGCCTGAGAAATCCCCAGCAAGAGGAACGATTTACTCGGAAAACTCTCAAGCTTGAATATGTATGAACGAGGAGATAAAAGGAAAAAGGGAACCGATTTTAACATGTTCTGAGTGGCGTTTGCCGGTGCAAAACTGTTTAGCAGTTGTAGGTCAGTGCATTTCAATGGCGTTGTGGTTGGTTCGTAATGTAGGACATTTCTAGAGCATTCCAGCGAAAAGAATAAAAGCAAGTAAAACTGTGCAGTCGAGTGCAATGAAGTGTTAATTAAGCGCATCAACCGGGCATTTTAAGTGCACTTTTTCTTCTTATTGCTTTTTTCCCCGGCACATATTTTAGTAATCATCATAAATTATCATAGAGTATCATTAAGAGAAAGCTTAACACTCAAAGTAAAGCCTTTTGAAATTGGACATTGCATTACCATGGAAACGGCACTTTAAAAACATTTAACTTGATATCAAATTCAAATTTGGTTAGATATTTGGCTTTTAGATATTTGACTTATTATTGTTTTGTTAGTGTAGGGGCTGATATTTAACAGGTTATATAACTTAAAGCGATTTCAGAGAATGATTTTTCACAATAATTTTTTTGCATCCTCTTAATAACATGCGAACATTGTCTCCGTGTTTCTTGTCTCGTCACATTCAAAATTAAGTTTTTAGGTAAGTCATCAGTCAAATGGATTAGTTTAAAAATGATTCACTATGGTAAAAGTGTTTTGTGGTCATAATAGCATAGTATTGTGCAAGAAATCACATTTATTAATTAATAATCTGAGGCTCTTATGATAAAGTCCCTCTGAAGTCAATACTTGTATCCCTTAAAACTCATCTTTAGCCCTAATCACACAGGATTATTATTATCTGGGGACCTCGTGTAAATTAGAAACTAGTACAAATGATCAGATGTAAATCCCAGTTCGTGAAGGCATCACACAGAAACATCTCGTCTCAGATGAGCTCTGAGGACCCGTGTGCAGCTTTAACTGTGTTTCTGCTGAATGGTCATCTCAGACTGCTGACTCGCTGTCCCGAGACTGTCAGCAGATTCCTCCCTGCGCCACAGTCACTTCACACACTTTATACACCTGTACTCACAGCGAGACCTGCTACAACACTTCGCAAAGCTTATAAACAGGAAGTAAAGGCGAGGCATATTGAATGGCTCCTCCCCTTTTCAAACAGCCAATAGCATTTAGTCATTTCATTCGTAACCAGCCTACAGTTGGAGAACCGAGTAAAAGTGTATTGTTTGAGCAACCGAACACACACACCAACCCATGTTACTCTGTGACACGTCGACGCTCGCGTTGGTCAGGTGGTGTTTATAGCATAGGGGGCGGAGCTTCATATTCTAGAGAGCATGTGATTGGACAGAAGATGTGATGAAGTCTGCGCTGATTAATGCCTGGTTCAGATTACACGATTTTGGCACGATCCGTTTGACGTAGGGTGTCGTGGGGATTTGTAAATGACGATGGGCGTCGGGACGCAAGATTCGATCGTATCATCTCATATAGTGTGGCGACAACCTACGTCGCGTCTGCGATGCTTCACGACAAAAATACTAGCATGTCGTCTAGCGATTAGCGTCGTCCACGACGGTTCCGTCACATGTATGAGGTTGACCAATAGGAGCACAGAAGCTTTTCCGTACACAACTTTCAAAAATTGCGATACGAAAGAGAGACAGTGGTGCTAACGTTAAAACTAAAAGTAAAGTTATGTAAGAAAACAACATTTTACCTCAAGTTCTCTTTGGAGGATTGACAGCCCACACTGTCCTCTTCGAGCAATCCAGGAGCGTGTCCATTGTCGGGTTTTCTTTATTTTTTTACTTTTTTCTGAACACAACACTCACCGCTTCATCCATTGTTTGTTTACGTTCGTTTCCGGAAGTCACTCGCTATTATTTTCGCCTTCTCGATGACTGGTCAGGAAGCAATGTGCCGTCTGACATGTTTCTTGTTCAAGATCAAAATCGCGTAATCTGACACAGTGACTATAGTAACAGACAAAAAAATGTGTAATCTGAATCAGGCATTCAAATCCCTGATCCAGTTTAGCGGAAGTGAGAGTGTAAGTTTTGAAGGCTTTTATCTCCTAAATAGGAATTTTGTCATTGTTTTGGAGCACACCAGCTTATTCATAACTTAAGACTAACATATTTATACGAAAAGCTAAAAAAAACGTACATTTTGATTTCAGGGAGCCTTTAAATACACACAGGAGAAATCAACAGAACGCAGAACAGGTGTAGAACTCAACAAACAACTACTACTCTTATATATTCAATATTTGTTACGGTTAAGTGACCGTTCAAACATATTCAAAACCAAACTTTCTGTACTAAAGCCTCCAATGGCTAAAAACATGTTTATTATGAGTTTCAAGTTATTCTGATCAAAGTCCTGCTTTTCTGGTCTTAATTTTTGGTATTATTAATTGAAAGTTCTTTTGTGTTTGCTGAGAAGAGCGTACAGTGAGCGATGACAGCACTGCTGTAAATATAATACTGCTGAATGATTTATTAATAGCTCCTCCGGCACTGCAGTGCTAAAAATATGAACCCGGCAGTGGAGAAGGGCACAGGGTTGTGCCAGTGCAAGGGTGTGTGTGTGCTCAATATACTCAGCAATCTTTATCACAATGTGGCATTTTAAAGAGCCCCTATCATAGCATTTGAAATGTTCCTATTTTTGTTTTGGGAGTTCCCAACAACAGTTTAACGTGCATGCAAGGATTAAAAACACTTTATTTGTCTTATAATACGCCAACACTGTACACTAAGGCGTACCCTCGACGCAGAAGTATAAATTGGCCTTAAGACGGTCTTCGCTCCATCCTTACCACCACCAGGTCGGTCACTTCCAAAACCCCAAAGGACCCCCCGGCTGCGCCCCTGCCTTCATCTTCAGGCAGGATATGCAGAATCTGCGGGGTCTACGCCAAAGAACTTTATTGCATATATGGCTTGCTGGGCTGTTAATAAAATGCTTTATGTACATTATCTTATCTCCGAGTCTTTCTGGTGGAACTTAAGCTGGACTGTGACGCTATTCTCTTCTAGAAACACACTCTGTTTAAAGCCGGCGATCAATAACTCAAACAACACAACAACTACCCAAACACAAAAAAGCACCCAAAACATGCCCAAAGGCTCAACCCAAGAAATTGGGTAGAAAAAATAACCCAATATTTGTGTGGCATTGACATAACAAATACGATTGATATCATGTGAGAGGTGCTTCTGGTAGACCCAACAGCATAGCAATGTGTTTAGGAGAGAATCGGGTCAAAGCTTGACTGTGAAATTGAGTCTTTAGTGTAGAGCTGATTGTGTCGGAGCAATGCGGGAATGGCTATTCCTGAGTTTAGGAGACAAACAAATAAATGAATCTTCCTTCCTTTCACAGTGAGTGTTGCACTGCGAGCGCACTGTAGTGTAGGGGTGTGCGATACTGACAACACATCTATGCATATCTCCATATTTCCAGGAATTTTGTCAATAATGATGATTAGACAATATCACGACTCTGGCCTCTGCTTTCCACAGTTTTCTCCATGATTAGTGTGTGATGAGCTCCCTCTTCTCTCTCTGTCCTGACAGTACGAGTACTTCAACGCGGTGTTGATCAACGAGGTGGACGAGGAGGGCAAGAGCGTGGAGCTGGGCGGAGAGTTCATCCTGCAGCCGAACGAACACTTCAACAACCTGTCGGTGAACCTCAGCCTCAGTGTGGTGCAGGTGCCCACCAACATGTACAACAGAGGTGTGATCGCACAACACCACACAACATCACGCACAAAATCACAACACCACAACATAAGTGCATCATTCTGTATCCAATCGTGTGGCTGGATCCCGTGCTTTCCTCAGATTTAATAAGCACTAATGGTGGTTGAGGAGAGTGTGGACTTAGTAGACATATGAAAGTGCCTCCGTTCATTCATTGAGTCAGTTAGTCAGTCAGCCAGATATCTCCAACCTGTCTGAAAAGTGTTTTCTATAGGTTGGTTTTTCTATAGAGCATCACAGTCCCGCCCACAGCCCGAGAGAGCGCTGGTGCCGGAAGTAAATTTCCCATTCATTTCTCCCATTGACATTTTGTAAAATCCATATCTAAAGAGTATTAGAGGATAATCAGCTACGGCTGAACTCATAAGCATACAATACATCATTTTGAGTGAAAAAACGAAGAGAAAATCCCAAAAAAGTCGAGGGTACAAGCCTGTGTACATATTTTCATTTCCGAGCAAAGGAACTACTCCTCCCATAAACCACCGCGCCTCACTAAAGTCGACTCAAGCCACCGTGAAAGAGCCTTTTGAGTGACTTCCAAATCTGACGACGGGCACGTGAACTTTTTCCTCCAGTGAATTTTACATAGTGAATGTGCAGGGAAACTCCTTTTCTTCAATTTATTGAAGCAAACGCATTTGCAGCTCAACATGCAAAAACATCGAGTATCTGGCTCGCTCATTAGCTAAGCTGTGGCAACTGCACATCCAATGGCGCGCGGGCGTCTCAGAAGTGCGACCAATGAACTTAGCCCTACGTCATCACGCGATCTTCAGTCTTCACGTACCTTCGCGGGGTTTCAGACACGTGACACGACTTCCACCAATCAGATGGATTGTGAGATTGTTCAGGATTGTGGGTAATGAAGTACTTATCCAATACATCGCGAATAAAAGGCATTTATCTTAAAACAAGGTTAGTGCCCCATGAACTTTTGGCGTTTATATGAGCACATACAATCGCTTAGTACAGCCGTAGCTGGTTTTAAGTCTACCATGTATGGTTACGTTTTTATGGCTTATATCTCTAATGTCAATGGAGAAATTGTATTGATTTTTTACTTCCGGCACCGGCTGTGGGCGGGACTGTGATGCTCTATAGGCTAAAGTCTATTCCGGCGCAGTATATTTTAGAACGTCCTATAATGGTTCTAACAGGAATCCACAATTTTTTTTTGACTATTCTTAGTTAAACTACAGATATCTACAAGTTAATTTTATATATCTAAAAATAAACACATTCAGAATGCGCATTTTTATTAGTTTTAATTAGAGAGTGGCTCCTCCTTCAGCACACTGGCTCCTCCTTCATTAGCCACATCTTGCAGCTCTGATTACATACTTCCCAAGAGTTGTAGTTAATATTGTATACTTCCCAACACAACACTCACATAATTTAAATATTAATTATACAAATTACTGAAATAATAATATAAATCTTCTCAATGAAAGCTCTATAGTGAGTGTAAATGTAACATCAGAAGAAGGAAGATATAACAAGCACAGGGATTCCCCAATGGAACCCAGAATGCATTGCTCCATTTACACTGAAGGATTATTTGCTTTATTATGTGGATAAAGCAGCACTTTATTGAAGATTCTGCTGAGAGCTGTCCCTCTCTCCTCTTTCATATGCAAAATACACTCCAGGGGAAGACGCTTGCTTAGTTGTATAAAAATGAAAGACTTTTATCAATGAACATTAATCATTTGGAGTGAGAGTATTTGCATTGGTGTTTTTGTTTTGTTTGTACTGCACTTAAAGCTGCAGTACTGAAGATTATTTGGTTAAAATTGAACAAAATCCATCCTTGAGCTAGTACATCATCGGTGTAGTGTTTGTGTTATAATGGTCCCTTTACCCAGTTCCACAATGGTCATCTTATAATAAAGTTACCCACAAGGCCATGGGATAGGAGTTAGCATGGTACAATGAATCAAAGTCAAGGATGGAAACTGCTCATTTTTCTGTTTTATTTCGCTTTTTTTTAAATAAAAATGATGAAACATGTGTAACTTCAATGACTTTTTTTTTTAGCAATTGAAGCAATCTGATCGCTTACTTCAGAAGACAAAGTGATAACCATGAGTGTGGTGTTCAGAGTTCAGATTATTCCAACACCTTGTTCCGCATTTCTGAGTGAATGGGCTCTATGCACGGCGTTATTTCCGGTGAAGGATTAAGGATGCTCGATAACTTCCGCCGATCATAGAGTCCAATGCAATACCGAGAATTTATATTGAATTTTATACTCCATGGTTATACTAATGAAACGTTAGTCACAAAAACAAGTCAAGTCAAGTCAAGTCACATTTATTTATATAGCGCTTTTCACAATACAGATTGTATCAAAGCAGCTTCACAGTGATAACATGTAAGTAGCACAACACAGATCAACAACATTGCTAAACACTAAATAAATAACCCCAACTGAGCAAGCTCAAAGCAAGCCAAAAGCAAGGCGACAGTGGCAAGGAACCAAAACTCCATCAGATTGGATGGAGAAAAAACCTTGGGAGAACCCAGGCTCAGTCGGGGGCCAGTTCTCCTCTGGCTTACATTCATATTGTTTAAATATAAATATTAAATATAAATATTGTTTATGAATCAAACGGCGCCATAAAAACAGATAAAAAACAGATAAAACAGACACCCCTCGTTGTGTTTATGCTTCTTTTAAAAATTATATTAAATAAACATAACTATATATAAAATTACATCTAAACGTATGTACGTTTCGTTTCAAAGACGGGAGGACAGTAAATATTGAAGACTCTGCCATAATCCCGTTTTCTCCGGTTTTCCTCCGCTTTAATCTACACAACCGGAAATGGACGAGCATCCTTACGTCAAATGCGGAACTTATGCGTGCATATAGCCCATTGTTTGAATGAAAGTCACTAATGAAGAGCGCCACTTACTGGCACAACAATGTAACGTGAAGTGATCTCCGTGAAGCTTCGAAGCCTTTGTAAATCATTTGTGTTGAACGAGTGATTCGGAGCGTTTATCGAACTGCCAAAGTCTCGTGATTTCAGGAAACAAGGCTTCTTTATGAAAAGTTTAGAAATCGCAATGGTTTGCCACTCACTGAGCCTATGAACCAGTGTCTATAGATCTATAGTTCTATAAATCTATATCCATTTTAAAGATACATTTGTATAACAAAATGAAGAGTTGTAGTTAATAATCTGTTACTGATTAGCCAAAAATAACAAATTATTAGGACACTTCATATTTAATAGATGAATTATCTCATGACTCACAGCATCGGTTGATCAGTCGTTCATAAATCCTCTCCCGTGGCCTTATGGGTAAAGTGTCCATCAGACACACACTGCTCTTGTCACATACTGTTCTTCACCTACTGTTAGCATGGGCTTATGTGATTTCGGACGCAGCCCGTGGCTTATTTACACAGGAATAACTAGATAACAAGACGAGGGGAACCCGAAGAACGACAAGCAGAACTTAAATCAAACTAAACGTAAAAGTCCAAACAAAAAACAAGCAGAGCGCACACAGACAAGTCGTCCAATCAGATTCCAGGACCAGAACTAATTGTTTTATACATGTAATCTGGCTCTGAGGCATCTCGTGTTTCCTGAGACGTCCATGTCGTTCCAGAACCGCTGATATCACGTGCCTCGGTGTTTATGATTTCAGAATACTGTATTCACTGTTAAAAATGTGCAAACCAATGAAGTCCGCCTTGGGTTGCAGACTCCGCCATCATGAACGGGGTGTACTGGTCTGAGGCGCTCAACACGGTGTTTGTGGACAACTTTAACAGAGACCCTTCGCTCATCTGGCAGTACTTCGGCAGCGCCAAAGGCTTCTTCAGACAGTATCCGGGTAAGGTCGCCTTCGCTCTTCCTCATTGGCTGGCACGGTCTACTCAGAGTTTGGAAAATCTTCATTTTACCTGATAAGATTTCAAGGTTTCAAATGTGCCTCAATTTTGATTTACTTTAAAAAACGCTTTATATTTGTACCTTAGAATGTCTAGTGTGATTAAAGTAAGTAACCCTTGCCCATGGGGAGTGTTGATGTGATGCTAGCATGTGGAAGTGCGCTAGTTCAGTCCGGAGACCGGATTCTTCAAAGTTTCATCGGCAGCCGAGCTCAAGAGTTAGAGAGATCGACACGAAAGCTATGAAGGCGTGATCACACTCATCTTGCAGGTTAAATCTAAAAGTGCTCTCCCTTGTGTGTGTGGAAATAATTGGTCCCGATTAGCGATGTGCTAGTGTATCATACAGCAATATCTGGCGGTTCAACTAATAATCTACACTATTAGACCATGCTAATCGCTTAATGATAGCTGACGATCAACACTGATAATCCTGTCCATCAAACGGGGGCAGAAAGCGTCAGACGTTTCAGAATTGTGCCGTGAAGAAAACGTCTGTGACGTGCAGCAAGAAAACAAAACACACGTATAATTCAATCATCAAAAAATAAATCATGAAAGTGATTGAGCCCAGCTCAGAAACAAATGAGTATGGATGACGTTTTGCAGCAAAGTAAAGTCACGCAGTACAGTAACATGGATTCATTTGCCAGATTACTTTTTTCTACGTTAAGATAAAAGTAATGCATTAAGTAATTGCATGTAACGTGCATTATGTAATCAGATTACTTTTTTGATGTAACTGCAGATTACATTCTAATTTTTAAATGCAAGAAACATAAACATAAAATAAGCATAATAAAGATAAGAGTATTGAAGAGAGGATTGAACTTTCTCCACCTGTCAAACAATTACAGCCGATTAATGAGCGAGAGATCCGCTCTGCTTAAAGCGACAGTACATTATTTACCGGCACACCTGTACATGTTTCTCATGTGAACAGAAAATATTGCTCATTTCATTGTGAGATATATACTTTTAAATATCATCTTTTGCACAAGAGAGAAAATCCCATTGATTTGAGCATAACGTTGAGTAAATGATGACATTTTTGTGTGTACTGTCCCTTCAAGTGTTTTATTCTCTCTTTAATAACAGCGCTTCTCTCTCCAGTGGATCTTTACACAGGTTCGTTCCAGTTAGTATCACAGGATTAAACGCATTACGTTTTCCTTTTGCTGACATTCGACTCTCATCGGTTCAGTGAAACAGCGAGTCAGGAAGTAGATTAAGATGAGTGATATTGCTTGTGGCTCATGGAAGGTAAAGCCCAGAGCTTTGCATTCTGGGAGACAGTGTTCTGTCCACGTTTACAGCAGTTGGTGAGCTCAGAGATGGGCATCAGTAGGGTCATGCGCTGACCAGACGTCCTCTTCCTTCGCAGGTATAAAGTGGACACCCGATGAACACGGCGTTCTGGAATTTGACTGTCGGAATCGGAAATGGTGAGTTATGTTTGCCCCGTACACCTCTTCTCCATAAAACCACTTCTGGATTTAAACTGATCGGAATAAAAGCCGCTCCGTTGCCTTGGCCATGGAATGAATTATTAACTTGTTTAACCTTCCCTCATATAGCATGCTTGGCCAACAGAGCAACTGTTAAAGCTATAATGTGTGATTTTTACCCCCATCTAGCGGTGAAACGGTATATGACCATCCAGGGAATATTAGTTTTTTGTTCCTCTCAATTCCGACTTCGTTTTTTCTCCTACGGTGGCCAAGATTAACATGGCTTCCAGTTCGACCTCGTCCATGAGTGTTAACTGGAACGTAAACGCAAAAGGCGAAGCTTGAATTAACGGTTATTTATGTCCCTCTTTGGCTAATGTACTTTCAAGATGGAGGGGCAACATGGCGACCGACATTAGAGCCCCTTACCCGTATGTATTTTCAATGGCATATTATACACTCACGAGAATACTTTATTACTTGAACGAAGTAAATATACATTAATGAGCACACATATTTTTGAAAGAACTGAGTGTTTTTAATTAAGAATAAACTAAAAAGAGTTACACAGTGTAGCTTTAAGCGCTTTTTCGTATTCGTCATCCTAAAGATTATAACACACTACAAAACAAATCAATACAAATGGAGTCTTCAAGCAGAGGGAATGAAAAGTTTCAGTCGCATAACATCGATTAATAGAAACCCGTCCTTTCGCAATAGTATAAATTGACATTTAGAAAATATGGCGTGAGTTTCTGAAATGGAAACGCGGCTAAAGATCGTCAGGGTAATTGTGGTGCTCTGGGAACACAGGTACATCCAGGCGGCGACGTCTCCGAAAGATGTGGTGATCCTGGTGGACGTGAGCGGCAGCATGAAGGGGCTTCGGCTGACCATCGCCCGGCAGACCGTCTCCTCCATCCTGGACACACTCGGGGATGACGACTTCTTCAACATCATCGCTGTCAGTTTACAAAATCACTTATCAATGTAGCTGCATTTATCACAGTATCAGTATTACCTTCTCTCGGAGGTGAGCTCATGACTTTTGTCGCACTTTAACCACAAAAATGTAATGGATTCGAGGAGTTTTAAAAAGTAACAAATCCTTCCCTCTCGGCTCAATCTGACCCCTTTAGGAGTGAGTGGGATGTGAGGAATGCTTCAGTACACGTAAAAAAAAACAACTAAAAATGCTAAAACTTTACCAAAAAATGATTGTATAATGTCTACATGTGTATCTGAAAGCACACGGCAGAGAGACCGGCTTTAGGACCCAGAGGAACAGCTCATATAGAGATATAAGCCCATCTAGAGTCATGAAATATCATGTGTTATTATTTATTTCGCACACACAATTTAAGATATTTAGAGCTGAATTAAAAGGGTTATGAATAAAATTGTGAGTTATTTTGAATTTAATTTGAAAGAATGTGAGGAATGTGCTTAAATTACTATTTATTTCTTATTTATTGATTAAATCTAGTAATTTCAAGGTAAATTATATATATATATATATAAAAATGCATTAAAAATAGAAAAAATATTGTCAAGCATAATTTTAGGGGTTCAGGTCATTTTGGCCCGTGAGGGAGGGATGAGGGTTCAGTGAGAAGTCTCTGTGCAACATTACCCACACTGGTCTCTTGTGTTGTGTGTGTGTGTGTGTGTGTGTGTGTGTGTGTGTGCCAGTACAACGAGGAGCTGCACTATGTGGAGCCGTGTCTGAACGGGACATTGGTTCAGGCTGACATTACCAACAAAAATGTAAGTGTATTTTCTGCTATACCTGTAAATAAACCTCAGATAACTGTTCCTGGCCTGGCTGTTGGTGTCAGGTTTGGCAGAAGAGGAATCAATAATGGGATAAACTTAAAATAGCTTTTCTGAAGCCCATGACTGGAAAGGCTTAATAAATTCAGGCAAATTTATGGGCGTACGAGGACAGAAGCAACAGGAGAGCGAGAGTCCAGGGTCAGATAGGGCAGACTGATGACCGAGACCAGAGGGACACACAAGCTCGATGCCAGAGCCTGACGGGCCAGAACCAGAACCAGCTGGACAAACTACTCACACAGACTACTCACTCAAATTACTCGCATAAACTACTCACACAAACTACTCAATAAACTACTCACACAAACTACTCACACAGACTACTCACACAAACTACTCACACAAACTACTCACACAAACTACTCACACAAACTACTCAATCAAACTACTCACACAAACTACTCACACAGACTACTCACACAAACTACTCACACAAACTACTCACACAAACTACTCACACAAACTACTCACACAGACTACTCACACAAACTACTCACACAAACTACTCACATAAACTACTCACACAAACTACTCACACAAACTACTCACACAAACTACTCACACAAACTACTCACACAGACTACTCACACAAACTACTCACACAAACTACTCACACAAACTACTCACACAGACTACTCACACAAACTACTCACACAAACTACTCACACAGACTACTCACACAAACTACTCACACAAACTACTCACACAAACTACTCACACAGACTACTCAATCAAACTACTCACACAGACTACTCACACAAACTACTCACTCAAACTACTCAATCAAACTACTCACACAGACTACTCACATAAACTACTCACACAAGCTACTCAATCAAACTACTCAATCAAACTACTCACACAAACTACTCACACAGACTACTCACACAAACTACTCACACAAACTACTCACACAAACTACTCACACAAACTACTCAATCAAACTACTCAATCAAACTACTCACACAAACTACTCACACAGACTACTCACACAAACTACTCACACAAACTACTCACACAAACTACTCACACAAAACTACTCAATCAAACTACTCAATCAAACTACTCACACAAACTACTCACACAGACTACTCACACAAACTACTCAATCAAACTACTCACACAAACTACTCACACAGACTACTCACACAAACTACTCAATCAAACTACTCACACAAACTACTCACATAAACTACTCACACAAACTACTCACACAAACTACTCACACAAACTACTCACACAAACTACTCAATCAAACTACTCACACAAACTACTCACACAAACTACTCACACAGACTACTCACACAAACTACTCACACAAACTACTCACACAAACTACTCACACAGACTACTCACACAAACTACTCACACAAACTACTCACACAGACTACTCACACAAACTACTCACACAAACTACTCACACAAACTACTCACACAGACTACTCACACAAACTACTCACACAAACTACTCACACAAACTACTCACACAGACTACTCACATAAACTACTCACACAAACTACTCAATCAAACTACTCAATCAAACTACTCACACAAACTACTCGCACAGACTACACGCATAAACTACTATTCACACAAACTACTCACATAAACTACTCACACAAACTACTCACATAAACGACTCACACAAACTACTCACACAGACTACTCACATAAACTACTCACAAAACCGCAGCTTTACAGAGATAACAGGAGAATAATGCAACAGAGTTTCTAGAAGAGGATAGTGTCACAGTCTGTCTTAAGTTCAGTGATGCTTCATTTCTGTTGTAAAAAAAGTTATTAATTTAGTTCATTTACATATAGAGCCGCTCTGGAGAAAACCGTGATGTCATCGTCCAGCTCAGTTCAGTTCTCATATAATGCGGTCGATGCAGGAGATTAATATTGATGAATATTAAATGTTCGCATACTAAAAGTCAAATGAAATCCAGAGTATGACTTTTAGTGTCTGTCCAGATGCTTTTCTTACCAATTATTACTTTTTAATGAACCCAGTCTAATCAAGGTTTGCACACATTACACACTCCACATCGGGGTTGCAGCGTCTCTTACGGTCAGGTTGTGTTTTGTGTTTTTCTCCTCAGCATTTCCGGCAGCGTCTCGATAAACTCTTCGCTAAACGCATCGGCATGCTGGACTTGGCTCTGACTGAGGCCTTCGAACTCCTCAGTAACGTGAGCACACACACACACACACACACTCATTATTTTGATTATTATATGTATCTGTGATTATAGTTACAATTTCCTGTTTCCTCAGTTTCTAAGGATGTTCTGATGAGTCGCTATAGTTACCGATGATGTTGTTCACCTGTGTGTTGTTTAATTCATCACTGCCCTGTGTATTTAAACCCTCCTCAGATAGCTGGTGTGTGTGTGTGTGTTCAGTTTAATCAGACGGGCCGAGGCAGTGTGTGCAGTCAGGCCATCATGCTAGTGACGGACGGAGCCGTGGAAACGTATGACGCTGTGTTTGCCGCGTACAACTGGCCCGACAGGAAGGTAAGAAGAGTGTGTGCAGATGATCTTCCTGACTCCAATGCTTCAAATGGAGGAACAATCCCAGACTCACAGAGATGTTTTATGTATTTTCTCTTGCATTTTACAAATAATATGATCTCTTTTTACAAATGTAATGATCTCTTACACTCTTTTATCCATCTCTGGTTTTTGGGAACCTCTACGTATATAGGAAACATTCTAACTCCAGAGGTTGAAAAGACGTCTTCCTGAAAGGTTTAGAGAGCGTCTGAGAGCGCAGGTGGACCCCTGATTATGGGTTTAAACTCGATATAGTGACCCTTACAACTTAGCGAAGATCCAGTGATCGTGGATACTGACGTGCAGCAGGAATCATGTTTACTCACATTTGCAGTGTAGTGTGTAACTCATTACGCGAGCGGCGCCCTCTACTGTACACACGTGAATCTGCATTTCCTTCAGCCTGAGACTTATTATTTCACTTTTGGTGTAAAAGGCCTTGACAGTTAAGCTGGTCACACCAGACTCTCCTATATTTCATTTGAAAATGTGTGTGTGTGTGCTGCAGTGTATATGTGTGTGTGTGCTCTGGACAGCATCAGAGATTTTGCAGCGCTGAGTAATCAGACGACTCAGAATACACTTACGTCCACTTTGCTGATGATGCGTTCAGGTCCTCCTAATGCTAATTTTTAGCATCATTACTCCAGTCTTCAGTGTCTCATGAGAAAAAGTTATCCTAATATGCTGATTTTCTGCTGAAGAAACATTTATGATTATTATAGATGTTTATTGCAGTTCCATTAGTTCCAGTTGAGGTGCAGAAACACTGCGCATTAGTTCTGACATTTCTAATACAATGACCTCTGACTGACTCCACCAAATCATCATAGATTTTTTTGGTTTGTTTTCAAATCGTTTGTGCAAAGTAGCTTTAATCGTTCGGCAATGTTTATCAAAGCTCAAAGATTACAGAGTAAAGTAATTATATGCTGGTGTGTCATCTGCTGTTGAGGGATTGAACATGACCTGAGCGCTCTCTCTCCCTCTCTCTCTCCGCAGGTGCGTGTGTTCCCATACCTGATTGGTCGAGAGTCTGCCTTCGCTGATAATCTGAAATGGATGGCTTGTGCTAATAAAGGTGACTCTAACTCGTGCAGATCTGTAATCCGCTTTATCTGCATTTCCACAGCATTACATTCTGTGTGTGTGTGTGTGTCGGTTCGGTGGGCGTTCCCTCGAGTGTGTAACACCTGACATCAGGTTCAAGTACACACACAAGCCGCGCGAGTTACTCGTGTATTGCAGTTTGGCTGGTGGTAACGTTGCCCGCCCGCATACCGCCTCCCATGGCCGAAACTGGTATTACGACACCGGCTAGTAATTTAGCATGCTAATTTAGGTTTATATCTCGGCAGCACTATAACGTGTCAGTTTTTTAATGACATCATTGCGCTTATTTCTTCTCATTCTTTTGATGCGTGTAGCTCATTTTTACCTCAATTATCCCATATGGCACCTTTAAAGTGGATGTTTCCGCTATATACTACATGACTTATCTGGAGTCTTGAATTCGTTGTGATGTTCACACTGTGTTTATATTACATATTTGTAATGTTTTCTGTGTTGTCAGGTTATTTCACACAGATCTCCACACTGGCAGATGTTCAGGAGAATGTGATGGAGTATCTGCATGTGCTCAGTCGACCCAAGGTCATCGATCGAGAGCATGACATGGTGTGGACAGAAGCCTACGCCGACAACACTGTGAGTGATCTGACATTTCCATGTTTTAATGTTAGTGGGATCCATATATAAACCGTTTTTAACCCTTTGAACACAGAAGAATGAAATGTAATGCTAAAATATCTGTACTGACTGAAATGATTAATGCAATCTCTTAAAAATGTCGTTCCACTACAGGAGGATATGTTTGATTTGCAGCTGTTCCACTCATCACATATACATGTTTTTATCATGGGCCCTTTTCAGGTTTTTATTCAAAAGATGCTCATATTTGTAGCACTACCATCACACAAGGTGATTCACTAATTTTCTGCATTATTTAACAAAAGCATGTCTTAACCCACTTTGCACTTGACATAACTGCATTTGTTCTTTAATTTGCACAAGAATGTATTGAAGTGATAGCGAACTGCAAGGTACTTAACAAATAACCTATTTGTGACCCTGGACCGCAAACCCAGTCTCGAGTCGCATGGGTGTATCTGTGGCAAGAGCCAACAAAATGCAAAAAAATCATTAGGATTTTAGGTAAAGATCATGTTACATGAAAATATTTTGTAAGTTTACAACCGTAAATATATAAAACATTAATTTCTGTGAGTGGATGCAGCACAATTGAGGACTTTTGGACAACTTTAAAAGTGATTTAGTCATATTTTAGTTTTTTTTTTTTGCACCCACAGACTCCAGATTTTAAAAAATAATTTTTTTTTTTAATATATTTTAAATCCTAACAATCAATGGAAAGCTTATTTATTCCACTTTTAGATTATGCATACATCTGAATTAAATTGGACCCTTATGACTGGTTTTGTGGTCCAGGGTCACATCCCACGCTGTGACCTCCTGTTCTGGACATTACAGAGCAAACCCAGTGAAATGTTCATCGATAGGTGATTCAGACCGAGGCACTGCTTTCAGTGGTAAAGACGAGCAGTAATATTGTGTGTGTTTACACTCATTTGATGGTAATTTGTGTTTTGTCTTTGTAGCGTCCACAGGCTCAAAAGGTAAAGGTTTGAGTGTGATTGAACAGTGTTTCTACATTAACCCATTGAGTGTGTGTGCTTTATGCTTGATTCTCTTGATTTTTCATGACCGTGGTGTTGTGTAGTCTGTGTCACGCTGCCATACTCGATGTGTTGTGGAGGATCTGCTTTCTCTGTAGTGTGGAGTCCAGTCTTTGTTCATGTGTGAACACTTGACCATAGTAGTTTCTTTACGTTATAAACTGGTCGCCTGGCGAATAAACCATACGATTGTGTTGCTGATGTACTACACTCTTAACAACGCCTGGGATTTGGATGTTAATGCATCATAAACCAATCATGTGCGCTATGAAGATAACGATGTGATCGACAGAACTTTGTAGTCATGAAAGTGTGCTTTCTTTAAGTACACTTAATAATTCATTAATATTTTATAATCTAATATTTGAAATGAACATATTATTTGAAATAAGCACACGTATTTTTCACTGTGTGGTCAGCTCTGATAAAGGCCATGAAACCGCTCTGTTTTACATGCGTATTAAGCCTCGGCTAACCATAGGATCCAGAAGGGCTTCAGGGACACATCTGATGACTGGTGTTTCATTCACTCTCAGCGTGAGTGTTTGGATGAGGCTCGGGGTGTGTGTAGGGATCATTCGTCATGTTAGAGCCCATTGACCTGTGCAGAGCAGAGATAACAAGGGAATTGGTCATTGGCGCAACTGTTCTCTGGAAGTGTAAAATAGCACCAGGGGTTGATTACACACGCCTCCTTTTAGCGCCGACCCGCCCAGGGAGCGCACGTTCATTTCCTAGTTTACCGACGTGCGTCTGTGGAGGAAAAATCCCTCTTTGCACGCGTCCAAAATAGGAATGAGACATGCGTCAGTCTATAAAGTCATTTGCGCCGGGTGCAAGATAGAGCCCTATGACTTTTGCGTAAACATACACGCCACTTTCAAGTCAAGAGGCGTGTTATCTCTACACATTTTGAGCTATCCGCGTGTATCCGCACGTATGTCTACGCCGTTAAATGTCCGAGTGATTCCGCGTGTATGTAAACGTCAGAGCGAAACGAAGCAAAATGTAGATCTACATCTGGGGAGCGATAAGCGTGGTAGAGGAAGACTCATAAATGCTATTAACCCCAGTGACGGGTAGGGGTTGGGGTAGGCCATATACACAGTAATGTAACGTTAAGTTAACAGCGTTCACAAACACGCTGAAAAGCGATTATGCGTGTTGAAAGCACACCAAAAATAGAAATAACATTATAACACAATTGACTTTATGCCCAGCTGCACTACTTCCTGAACTTCAGCCAGCTCCTTGTTTCCTGTCTGCTATTATTGGCCAAACTTGATTAATTCAGGTGTGTCTGATTATTGTTGCCATGACTACGGAGGTCAGGCACACCTGAATCAATCAATTTGATTTTGACCAATAATAGCAGACAGGAAACAAGCAGCTGGCTGAAGTTCAGGAAGTAGTGCAGCTGTGCATAAAGCCCATTTCATGAGATCAGTCTGTTAATGCAAGACAATAAAATGCCAAGTTTTTTTTAAATCATATGATCGCTTTGTGAGGAGCAGATGTTTAAGTCATTATTTACTGAATACCCTATCTTGACTTGTGATTGATTTATAGTGGGAAGAATAGTTTTAGTGTTTCATCTGGAGACAGCAGCAATTTATACTTCTAGCAGTGTATTTCACATTTTGAAAAGTCAAATAATATTTATCCACCACTATGTGTTGTTGTCCATTTGTATAGTTGGAAGATGCTCAGGGTCCAGTGCTCATGACTACTGTGGCCATGCCTGTGTTCAGCACCAAGAACGAGACCGTGAGTGATGCTAATCATTGACTTCTGTAATGTGGTTATGATACCATATAACTCTTATCATACTAGAACTTATCCTGTTCCTGGGAGATCTACCTTCCTGCCAAGTTCTTGAGGAGCACTTGATCATTACAGACAAGTGTGGTGGATCAAGGCTGGACATGAACTCTGCTGGATCTCCAGGAACAGGATAGAAGAAATAATACCAATGTAAGAAAGAAAAACAGTGTCCCTTACACACTCATGTTCATTGTTTTAAGAGAAATAAAGGAATTCTTCTTGGCGTGGTTGGCACAGATGTCCCAGTGTCTGAAATACTGAAGGCTATCCCCAAATACAAGGTACACAAACAACCTTTAATTCTTATTTTATTCTAATTGTTCTCCATCTATTAGAATGGTGAGGATGTTTCTAGCACCAGTGTTGTATGTATCTATAAACGGACAAACGTTTTCTGTAATTGAGGAGCTGGTGTGTGTGTGGAGAATACACAGAATGTGTGCAGTGAGGAGGAGTGTGTGGATCTTGGTGGAGACGGGACAGCTTTGGATTGCTCTCCCTCATCAAAGCTATTGCTATAATAAGAATTTGCTTTGGCGGCCATTGCAGGACAACCCCTGCATTAGTTGTCAATGTGTGCGTCAATTAATACCATTACCCTATAAAACTGGCGTGTGATTTAGGCAGCATGAAAGCCAACTTGCAACGAATGATTTTTATAATTGTAGCTAGCAGAACATTAAAAAAATATCGAAGTAAAAGTATTAAATTCATCGAAAATATCTACTGAAGTAAAAGAAGTATGAGAAAAAACAATACTCTAGTAGAGTACAGATACAGCATTTTAGTACTTAAGTAGTTCTACTTCGTTACTATACATCTCTGGTTGTAAAGTAATGTCTTAATTGGACTATTAAAATAAAGTGTAACCTAAAAGTTTCTGATCAATAAGACCCATTATAATCAGTGAAGCGGTCTACACTGAAAGTGGCACGGCACTGCATGATGAGTCCATGACTGTAAAGAGACACCCTGCTCCATTCCTTGATCCATGTGCTTGAACTGTTTTTGACACAAGGGTCAAACGGATGTCATGTCAGCTTGGAGTGAGAGAAGCATCACACCACACTTCACTCTCGGAAGGTCTTACATATTAAAGGAGTAGTTCACTTTTGAAAAAACTTTTGTTGGTAATTTACTCACCCCAATGTCATCCAAGATGTCCATGTCTTTCTTTCTTCAGTCGAAAAGAAATTACGGTTTTTGATGAAAACATTCCAGGATTTTTCTCCTTATAATGGACTTCAATGGAAACCAAACGGTTCAAGGTCCAAAAGACAGTTAATAACAGTTTCAGATGCAGCTTCAAATGTCTTTAAACGACACCAGACGATGAATAAGGGTCTTATCATGCGAAACGATCGCTTATTTCAAAACTTATTCCAAAAATGTAACTTTTATAAGGACAAATGCTAGCCTTGCTCTATTCTGTGAGGCGCGTTTGTAACATCACGTAATACGTAATTACGTTCAAAAGGTCACGGGCGACGTAGCCGGAAGTACAGAGTCAGTGTTTACAAGTTGAACGCATAGGTTGAACGTGCAAACTAACTCAAACGCCGTTTACAAAAAAGAAATTAAAAGGTAAAACAACGATGTCGGACGATTTTGATTCAGTACTTCCGGCTACGTCGCCCGTGACCTTTTGAACGTAATTACGTAATACGTGATGTTACAAACGCGCCTCACAGAATAGAGCAAGGCTAGCATTTGTCCTTAGAAAAGTTACATTTTGGTAATAAGCTTTGAAATAAGCGATCGTTTCGCATGATAAGACCCTTATTCATCGTCTGGTGTCGTTTAAAGACATTTGAAGCTGCATCTGAAACTGTTATTAACTGAAGAAAGAAAGACATGGACATCTTGGATGACACGGGGGCGAGTAAATTATCAGCAAAAGTTTTTTCAAAAGTGAACTAATCCTTTAAAATGGACAAATAATACATGTATCTGTTCAATCCATCAACATATATTTCTGTAGTACATTTAAAAGCAGCACAAGTGGACCAAAGTGCTTTACACTACCAAAAGTTACAATACAGACACAATTAATTATATACAATAACGTAACATATAATCACATGACCGGCTTCAGTGAGATTCAGAGCTGAGATTATAGACGGCTGCTCTTTAAAGACTGTGGACTTCTGCAGGTTAAAAGTGTGAGTTTCTCTGATTGTGTGTGTGTGTTCACAGCTGGGAATCCATGGTTACGCCTTTGCCATCACCAACAACGGATACATTCTCACCCATCCAGACCTGCAGCCTCTGGTAATGTATCGCTTGTGATGAAAATGATGATGATGATGAGCGTCTCATTAGAGGCATTGTGCTGTGAGCCGACAGCTGTGGACAGTAATGAGTGTTTGACAGATGATGAGATGGGAACATCAACAGCTCATGATTTCACTGCGGTGTGGATTGAGGATCAGTCCTCAGGAGTCCGGATCTCAGTGAAAACACTCGAGACGAGCACAAGTTTAGATCTTCCAGCATGGCTGGTTTATGCGGATTAGAGCTGGTATAATGCAGGAGACCAGCAGCGCTATAACATATCTAGGTCATTCCTCATCACATGATAGTCAAATGGAAGAAGAAATGATATTTTGCAATGTAAAAAAGCCTTTTAAGAGCCATTTTTTTAACAATTAAACACATTCTCAAGTTATAAGCCGAGGTCCCTGTATCTGCTCTCAATTACACATCTACACACAACTACACATCTACACACAACTACACATCTACACACAACTACACATAGCAACAAAAAAAGCCCTTTTTTCTCTCCATTTAAAAAGATAAGCATCTGGATTCTTCCTTTATTGTCCTTCTGCCACTGGAGGGCAGTCTACACCCGTCACACACACTGATCCAAACACACTGTCACACACACTGATCCAAACACACCGTCACACACACTGATCCAAACACACCGTCACACACACTGATCCAAACACACCGTCACACACACTGATCCAAACACACCGTCACACACACTGATCCAAACACACCGTCACACACACTGATCCAAACACACCGTCACACACACTGATCCAAACACACCGTCACACACACTGATCCACATGTCCTGGCACAACAGCTTTTATAGTCTGATCTCTGTGGGACAAACATTAATTACAGGTTTAGATGATGTATTGATTTACAGAATGTGTTAATCTCTAAAAAAGTCAGTGTTACAAGTGTTTATTACATATTACAGTGTCACACTAATACACATCATGTTGATTGATGGTGTTTCCAGTATGAAGAAGGGAAGAAGCGGAGGAGGTCCAGCTACAGCAGTGTGGATCTGTCTGAGGTGGAGTGGGAAGACACGGAGGACGAGGTACGCTTGTACTTACTTATTAAATTTACTTATAAATCATTTTTATAAAAACTTATAAGTACAGTTTGAAAGAAAGTTCATGTGAAACATGCTAATCATAACACAACGATACACAGACACAACATTAAATCCAACACCACTTACTCCACCTATATATTAATATAAGTTTTTCGTAATTAAAAACTCAAAGAGGGAACAAGCAACATCCGTTTACCTTTATCTCACTGACTCATCATATAAATGTGAATCTTATTTAACCCCATTATTTAACTGTAAGTAGAGTTTCTTCATTATTCAATTCTGAAGCCTAAACATGAACATGGACTGTCTTCACAGAGTCTTATAAAACTTGGCAGCCTGTGTGTTGCACCAAACCCTGACAGTACAGTACAGAGACGTTTGGGGGAAAATATAATGAAATGTTTTAAAATTACTTTAAATTTTGTATAATATGACCTACTTTCAAGAGTCTGGTCTCCTTAACTTACTTGGTAGAAAGATACTGTCACGTGTTGTGTTTGTGTTCATGTAGTCTTTGTGTTCGTGTAGTGTTTGTGTAGTGTTTGTGTAGTGTTTGTGTTCATGTTGTGTTTGTGTAGTGTTTGTGTTTGTGTAGTGTTTGTGTTCATGGTGTGTCTGTGTAGTGTTTGTGTTTGTGTAGTGTTTGTGTAGTGTTTGTGTTCATGTTGTGTTTGTGTAGTGTTTGTGTAGTGTTTGTGTAGTGTTTGTGTTTGTGTAGTGTTTGTGTTCATGTTGTGTTTGTGTAGTGTTTGTGTTTGTGTAGTGTTTGTGTTCATGTTGTGTCTGTGTAGTGTTTGTGTTTGTGTAGTGTTTGTGTAGTGTTTGTGTTCATGTTGTGTTTGTGTAGTGTTTGTGTTTGTGTAGTGTTTGTGTTCTGTTCTGTTAGCCTGTGACACCCAGTTTGCCCGCGTGTTTCACTGATATATCCCTGTCACCTGTTGTCTTGTGCTGCTTCCTAATGTGCATACTATCCGTCTTAAATAGTATTCGAAAATAGAATTAGTACGTCCCTAATCGTAGAGTGTTGAAATGAATGATCCAAAGAGACCCGGATGGTCTACTATATCCGGTCAGAATCCGAAGTGCAGATCGATGTGCATGCTAGTGTCTGATATTGCCCACAACCCATCGCGCGTTGGACGGTTAGAACTACAAACAGTGAAAAGTGTTTTAAAAAAAAAAAACTACAGACATGGAGGACGCACGAGTCTGGTGGTTGTGTAGTGAGACTCAGATGAAGGGGTTTGAGTGATTAACTATCAATATCTAACCTGACGAAAATGAATTTCTTCAATCTGCAGCAGCATTGTGAACTTTTGCAAAGATATGTTTAGCCATTAACTTTTAAATGCATCATTACATTCAAATTGCAAACACATGAGGAGAATCTTGTTATTAATATGTTATGTTATTAATAGAATATGTTATTAACATATTACAATGTAGTTGTCTTTTATGGTGCTTGAAAAATATGGGGCAGTTTTTAGATTTCTCGATATGATTATCAGATGTCTTTTTTTTTGCGTAGTTGCGTAATGCCATGGTGAACAGACAGACGGGGAGCTTCTCTATGAAAGTGAAGAAGACTGTGGATAAAGGGGCAAGAAACTCCCTCTACACACACACACACACACACACTTCTGAAAAGGTCTTTTCTTTCATGCTCTTATAGTGTTTGTGTGTTTGTTTATGACTGTCTCAGAAGCGTGTGCTTGTTCTACACAACGACTACTACTACACAGACATCAAAGGAACTCCCTTCAGGTGAGATTTTTATTGCCCTTATATATAAAACCGTGTAGAACAACAGAAACACTGCAGATTGAGACAGACGGCTGGACTCAACAGCTGCTCTGCACACTACCCACTTCAGCAAGGCTCCAAAACATTATTTTAAACAACATACATTATGTTAGTGCTATATATACAGTATATATTATAATTAGTGCTACAATTCATTATCAGATCATTGTGAACTGTCTAGGATATTACTTTCTGATCTTCATTAAATGAAGAAAACAGTTTCTCGTAGAAAAAAAAAAAGAATCAGTGCTTTCTGCCATGTCCATCCCGGATGCAAAGCCTGAGTTCCTGGCTGAAGGAGTGTGAGCCTGCCACAACATCCGTGCCAGTGGGAATATTGATGGTGCCGAATGAGGAATGAGGGCTGGTCAACTGGTAGAGGGAGGTAGTGCTTCCCACCCACAAACCTTCTCTGTCACCAGTCCCCTCCTGCACTAATGTCTCTTCATCGGTCCACCTAAGGTCTTCATCTCCACCAGTCTCAGTTATCACAGAGTGTTCTTCGTCACCACCATCCCTGTCCATTCATCTACAGCCAGTCTTCTGCACATTCCACTGAAACCAGCCATTCTCTCCACTGGCTCCCTTAAGCCCTGATCCGCCTTGGGGCTTCCGGACCCCAGCCCTGGTTCCGGGCTCTAGCGTCCTTCAGCGTCACTAGGTCTCTCAATCCCATGGATACTGCCTTTCTCTCCCAGTCCTTCAGCGTCGCTGGTTCTTCAATCCGCATGGACTCCGCCTGACCCTCTACATCTCCAGGCCTCTTTGCGGTCAGTTGGGTCAAAGGACCACCTTGGCTGCTCCTCCATCACTGCCACTGGGCGGCGCTGTGGGATCTCATCAGCTGTCGGTTCTTAGCTTTACTATTCTGAATTATGAAACCTTTCACATGTCAGAACAACTGACAAAAACAGCACTGTTAAACCCTTCACAAATCAGATTAGTGAAGTTAAGGACTAGTTAACTGACAAAAACTGTACTGTGAAATATTTCATTTATTGCTTGTCACTGGCATTGGCAGTTATGGCTCAGTAACTGTTTCGAGTCAAAGTTGTGAATTTAACTTGTGCGCAAAATTGGAATATGGCATCAAACACTTGGAAATAAAGCAGTGTTTCTATCGCATGTGTTCAAGAGAACAAAATCGCCACTCCCTGGGAAACTGGTGCAAAGTATCACTAATAAAAATGAAATGTTTGGGAACGCAATTCTGTGAGACGCTTCTGGGACGGAATTAAACCAAATCATTCTGATCACATACTTTGGCATTTCAGAACCACTAAACAAATTAAAAACTTAAATAGCGCTTTATTTCAACATTTATTCTCCTGATTCAGTTCTGTGTAAAGCTTGTTGGGAACTAGGAACCCACTGCCCTGTTTCAGTCAATGTGACACTTAACATTTTAATTCCATTTGACAAAATAAAATTGAGTACAGATGACAATCAAGTAAAAAATTCAAGATTTTTTGGAGTGTATGATTTATTTCTCTTGTTTTCAGCTTAGGAGTGGCCCTGTCCAGAGGTCATGGCAAATATTCCTTCAAAGGGAATATCTCTGTTGAAGAAGGTAACTATAGGTTTAAAGAGACTCAAGGATTAAATCAAGGATTAAGTCGTGTTTGGCTCAATCATGGCATCTGAATCTGAAGCATTAGTCATGATGGGTGTTCCTTCTGTTTCAGGACTACATGATTTGGAGCATCCCGATGTTGGATTAGCAGATGAATGGTAAAGTAGTATCTTCTGAGGTTTTATTCAGTGCCTTATTGAAGTGTCTACAGTATGAGTGATGTTTGCATGCGTGCAACTGATCGGTTTGACTTTTCAGGACATACTGTAACACAGAGGAACATCCAGAACATCCTTTCCTATCTCAGATCGATGCCATAAAGCTTTATTTTAATGGAGAACCACATCTGAAGTGTGAGCTGAGTGCTAAAGCACACTAACATATTGTTTTGATGACGCCCCTTTGTTTTTGTGTTGTTCGGTGTGTATGTATACTTCTTTGAACTAATCTTTGTACTAATGAATGGCAGTACAAAATAAAATAACTTCAAAATTCCAAGATCTATTTAGAATTAGTGTTCTATTTAGAATTACGATTGGTATGGTATGATTGTTTTGTTAGGTGATCTGGATCTGGTCCAGGAGGTTCTGTTTGATGCCGTGGTCACGGCCCCGCTGGAGGCGTACTGGACCAGCCTCGCTCTCAATAAATCAGAGTAAGAACACCACAAACTTTATTAACGCACACTTAGTGTACAATAATATCTTTACCACATTTTGCCAATAAAGTGTGGAATGCCTTATCATCCAATCAGATCCTCACTTGTAATATACAGAGAAGTCAGCTGGGTTGTAAATGCCATTTCAAGTTGACTTTAACTAGAATTTTTCATTTTTAAAGATACTCATAATGTACATTAATGCATCATATACATACATGAATAATTTTGGCAGACTCCTTGTAACATCTGAAATTGGTTGTTTGCTTTATTCTTTCTAAAGGTGTGTTATCAATGAATAGATAAGTATTATACTACAATTATTCATGCATTATAAGGTGCATGCATAATGCATTGCATTATTTATAATGTTTTTTCCCAAAGTCTTACCGAATCTTTTTTTTTTTTAATTATTATTCCTTATTAATGTTTATTATGTATTTCCCGTGGTTCTCGTTGTTCTGGTAGGAACTCCGATAAAGGGGTGGAGATAGCTTTCCTCGGCACTCGAACGGGACTATCACGAATAAACCTTTTCGTGATGCCAGACCAACTGACCAATCAGTAAGTACATCATACTTCTCATGAGTCTGCATTACATAGTAAATTCTATACTGATCTATAGTAACTCATGTGTAATAAATGTTTTGCTAGAGACCGTAAATGCCAGTGTTGGTGGAGCAACTAATGAAAAGTAGCAATGCTGCAAACTGAACTACATGTTTTACAGTAGTGTGTCAATGGCTCTGCTCCTTTCAAAACAGTGCAGCTTTTTTAAAGAAACAAGTTAAGTTGCCTTTCGAGGGAGTCTGGGTTCCCAGATCTGGTGTCTGTCCCGGACAACACTTCTTTAAAGCTTCCTGTTCAGAGAAAACTTCTTTTTCAAGTTTAGTGGTCGATTTGTTTTTGTTTTTTTCACTCCCGGCTAGAAATGTGGAAACTTTGGGTCTGGCCTTTGAGGGGTACCAGCTAATAGATTCTAGTTACAATCTCTGGGTCAGGCTAAAACTGTTTCTGAGTGGTCTGAGTGATCATCTTAAATGGAGACTTCTTCAGTGTCCTATTGAAGTCCCTCAAGTCCAAAATGGACTGACTGGGTGGATTGCAAAATTGCCTGGATTAGTATTGTGTTATAGAGGCTTCAATGTTCCTCACTCCGGTGACGAGTTCTCATAGCGTCAGAAAGTAATAAAGAATTGATGTGACTGTAGTAAAAAAGAAAAAAGAAAAGAAAAAAGTAACTTCTATACAAACTTTAATTATTTATTATTCATAACTCTGTAGCTTGGCGAACTACACTCTAAAAAATGCTGGGTTGTTTTAACCCAATTTTGGGTCAAATATGGACAAACCCGAAATGTTGGGTTAAAAATGTAATGTAAAAATTTAACCCAACGGCTGGGTTAGTCCATATTTGACCCAAAGTTGGGTTAAAACAACCCAGCATTTTTTAGAGTGTACTGGCCATAGCTCCAACACTGCCAACACACTGCTGTTTTTGAGTAATGTGTGTTGCGAGACCATGTTACCCAGAATAAGTCTAGTCTTCCCCGCTCAGCATGTAATACACTCACCTAAAGGATTAATAGAAACACCTGTTCAATTTCTTATTAATGCAATTATCTAATCAACCAATCACAAGGCAGTTTCTTCAATGCATTTAGGGGTGTGGTCAAGACAATCTCCTGAACTCCAAACTGAATGTCAGAATGGGAAAGAAAGGGGATTTAAGCAGTTTTGAGCGTGGCATGGTTGTTGGTGTCTGAGTATTTCACAATCTGCTCAGTTACTGGGATTTTCACACACAACCATTTCTAGGGTTTACAAAGAATGGAGTGAAAAGGGAAAAACATCCAGTATGGGTCAGTCCTGTGGGCCAAAATGGGCCGACTGATTCAAGCTGATAGAAGAGCAACTTTGACTGAAATAACCACTTGTTACAACCGAGGTATGCAGCAAAGCATTTGTGAAGAAGACACAACACACACAACCTTGAACAGCAGAAGACCCCACCGGGTACCCCTCATCTCCACTACAAATAGGAAAAAGAGGCGACAATTTGCAAGAGCTCACCAAAACTGGACAGTTGAAGACTGGAGAAATGTTGCCTGGTCTGATGAGTCTCGATTTCAGAATTTGGCGTAAACAGAACGAGAACATGGATCCATCATGCCTTGTTCCCACTGTTGGGCTGCTGGTGGTGGTGGTGTAATGGTGTGGGGATGTTTTCTTGGCACACTTTAGGCCCCTTAGTGCCAATTGGGCATCGTTTAAATGCCACGGCCTACCTGAGTATTGTTTCTGACCATGTCCATCCCTTTATGGCCACCATGTCCCCATCCTCTGATGGCTATTTCCAGCAGGATAATGCTCCATGTCACAAAGCTGGAATCATCTCAAATTGGTTTCTTGATCATGTCAATAGGTTGACTGTACTAAAATGGCCGCCACAGTCACCAGATCTCAACCCAATAGAGCATCTTTGGGATGTGGTGGAACGGGAGCTTCATGTGTAGTTGTGTTGGATGCACTTCGTTGGAACTACCCTTTTGGAAATTAAAGCCTGTTAACCTTCTTCATCGTCTTCATCATCTTTGTGTTATCCGTGTGTTTATTCTCTCCCTCACAACCTGTGACAATTATTAGTTCAGCATCCCTCTTATAATGAGGTAATGTGTGTGTTGTGTGTTGTAAGAGACTTCCTGACAGCAGAGGATAAGGAGTTGGTGTTCAGTGCTGATCATTTCCCTCTGTGGTACAAGCGGGCGGCTGAACAGGTGCCCGGCACCTTCGTCTACTCCCTGTCAATCAACCAAGGTGATTATACACACAAAACAGGCCGTTTAAATAAAGCAGCGACCCCATCAGTCTGCACCTTTGTTTTTATTTACTAAAGTTACTTTATTCCAGCATCACATTTCTAGATCAAAGTTATTGAAATGTGCTGTTTTTCAGAATAACCGCTTACCACATAACTAGCCTAAAACATAACTGTACTTATTATTATATAGATCAACCCTTTAAAGAAACGGATTGTTTACAGTTTAATGAAAGTAACCCCATAATTCATGGGGCAAAGAAAAGGTTGGATACAAGTTCTTTACAGTGAATATGAGCAGGAATGAAAGGATGTGTCAGTATTGTGTTTTAGGGGGCTTTCACTGGCAGTTTAGTTCGGGACGGCGTGCGCTTCGCATGAAAAATGTGCTAATGTGAACGCTGTCACGTGACCCGCGTGTGCACTGGGACCAACTGGAGGAGGCGGTAATCCATCCGCCGGAAACTGAAGCCTCGCGGGAGCCGCCATTGTAGCTTCTCCTGCTTCATTTTGGCGTCACTTTGACAGCGAGTAACTTTACATCTGAGGCGTCCAAAGATTTAATTTGTCCATTATTTATTTCTAAAGAAACACGACAATTTATTTATTTAACTCCATTACCTTGCATCTTACCCTATGGACCCGTAGAAGCAGTTTTTGTAAAAATAGGCTAACGATTGCATCATAACGAAGCGACTGGATCGTTACTAATAAACTTTGTGTTAACTTAATTCTTCTGTTTCCATCGGTCGGCTTGCACACACACACACAAACCATACTTTTCTCCTTAGTAAAGGCAAAATGTAAAAATGACTTTATTAATGTGTGTGTTCTTTCATGTCAAATACGTAAATGTAATCAATTACTTCAATCGATTGAATACTGTGGACTATAACCAATCACATGCTGTCCACATCGGCTAAACATCTCTACACGGCACAGGGGACGTTCATTCACTCACACTGATTAATGCTTCTCAGAGGACCATACATTTATTTACACGACAACTGCATGAAGTAACCATAAATAAAAAATACAGGCAATATTATGACAAAAATAACATTGATGATTGTTGCTCTTGATATTATAATAATGATAATTAAAGTTGAATACATGTTTGGGGAAACATCACGACACATTCTGTACAGACAAAACAAACGAAGAACAATTATTGGATTCGTTTATTGCTTTTTACGCATTAGAAAATCAAACGTCTATTCAGACCGGGAATAAATGATATACAGAAAGTGAGGAAGAGCGTTCCCCTTCATCACTGACGTCCCCAAATCTCCTCATAATGAACACTCTTATCACTGATGACAAACGCCTCTGATTGGCCAATGCATTCATGAGCTCAACAGAAGTGTGTGTTGTGATTGGTTATAGACACTTCTAATGTAGTCCATTAGTTTCTGACGGTCAGTAATGTTGTGCTCATGAATCGTCTGCTCCGGGTCCCAGAATACACTGGCACGAGATTCGCTTGCATTTTAATTAGGGCTGTGAAGCGATTAATCGCATCCAAAATAAGTTTGTGTTTACATAATATATATGTGTGTATAATTATTTTGTATATTTAAATACACACATGCATGTAGAAATATTTGCATGTATACACTGTGTATATATTTAGTTAAAATTAATATTATACATAAATATACATTTTTGATATATTATTAACACATTTTTCTTAAATATATACATGCATATGTGCGTATTTATAATTACAACACGTATATTATGTAAACACAAACTTTTATTTGGATGTGATTAATCGTTTCACAGCCCTGATTAAAATGTTTCTTTTTAATGCGCGATGATTAGAAAAGCGAATACTGCAATGATTGGACATTGATCATGAGATGAGACGACAGTACGGGACTGTGTGTAACACACGTCATCTCTTCAGTTTTATTGACACGACTGGGAGAAGCGAGACGGAGGAGAGAGTGAGGTGACCTAACGTTCACATTTACTTCCACAAAGAAGAAACATTTATAAACAGACATTAGGCACTATAAATCTGTACAAGAAAAACTGTAAAATTAAAAAAAACATTTGTTCTATCTTTTATAATACAGTTTATCATAGTGTGCTGTAGTTGACGGAGGTTAAAGTTATGTTTAATTATTCTTATTTGAATAATTTGACAAAATAATTGGATGAAGCCAGTGTTAGCTAACAGTGTTCCTCCTCGCCCGTATAGTGCCGGCGTCACGACACTTTAATGACGGACTGGACATCTGGAAACTACGGAGGCGTATTGCATTCACTTGAAGAAAAAAAAAATCTACTCTGTTTTCAGAATTAATGAGTTAATTTTTCATGAGAAAAAAAATATTTTGCTCTGTTTTTCTGAATTAATGAGTTAATTTTACGTGAGAAAAAAAGTTTTTGCTCTGTTTTTCTGAATTAACTCGTTAATTCAGAAAACAGAGCAAAAAAAAAAAAATTCCATGAAAAATTAACTCATTAATTCAGAAAAACAGAGCAAAAAAAAATTCCATGAAAAATTTTTTTCTCATTAAAAATTAACGCATTAATTCAGAAAAAATAGAGCATTTTTTTCTCATGAATAATTAACTCGTTAATTCAGAAAAACAGAGTAGATTTTTTTTCTTCAAGTGAATGCAATACGTAGGAAACTACGTTCATTTGTAGCAGAAAAACGATATGAAATCTTCAGATAAACACAAATAACGCAGTGGCAGAAAGGGTCAGCGCTGTCTGTTCTGCACTGATGGTCTGATGTGTGTGTGTGTGTGTGTGTGTGTGTGTGTTTCAGCGTCTGAGAACAAGAGTGTCGTGTACGCCAGCGGCACCATTCCTCTGCTGGACGAGAGAGAGTCGCCCATCGCTGCAGGTACACACACACACACACACACACACACACACACACACACACACACACACACACATCACGGCTGATCTTAGAGGACGCCCTCCGTCGGTCGCTGTGTTTCTGAGGGTTAAACACATGAGCAGAGCGAGAGAGACGCTAGACAAATGAAGGGAAATAAAATAACGCAGAGAGAGAGATGTCAGAACATACGCCTGGAGGAGCACACACACACACACACACACACTCATGCACAAGTGATTCATGTTATAACTGACAGAGAAATGAAGTAGAACAGACAGATTTTCACCCTCTACTGCTCATGATTCAGTGTTTTGCTGGAGAACACACACACACACACACACACGACTAAAATCATGTTCTATATAGAATTTCATGCTGTTTATTTTATAGATTTTAAATTCTATGTATCTTCTACTTTATTCTTAGGCTGCAATATCAAGCTCTAATAAATATAAATTGAACATAGAAATATTACAACATGTCTCCACACGTACACACACACACACACACACGTTACACAGTTCTGACTAAATGAAGGTTCTGGCTCAGTGAGTGTTGGTTGATACAGAATAATAATAGAAAGCACATGTTGTTTCTCAGTTTCACGTGCTCATGATAGCACACACACACACACACACTCTAATGCAGCCTGACAGAACGCTCTTGTGTAACTGGGACATTTGTGTGCGTGTGTGTCCTCCACTTTACAGAATATCTATAATCAAAACTGATTTCAATTGCTTGACATTAAATTCATATTTATTGAGATTTTGCTAGTGTGTGTGTGTATGGTGTGCAAATGCTCCGCTTTCCCTTCACTGGTTGATTTTAAATGGTTGATTGACTGAAGATTTTTTTAAAGAATGAATATTCAGTATATTCTCCATTTAAAACAGGTTTTATGATAATATAAAAGAATGAGCACTAGATGTGCAGTGTGTGTAGTGTGTATATCATGTCAGCTTTCCCAGCGTGTATCACGTCAACTAACCAATTATTGCTCGGCTGTGTGTGCGGATGTTATATAACGCAGATCAACCCTTCATATGCACATTTATATAATCTTGGATATTCCAGCATTTCCCAAGAGCTCAGAATCTCGTTGGGTTTCTACCTGAATATTTACAGTGAGGCTTATACAATATATATATATATATATAACACTTAAGACACTGATATTAGGATCTGCCTACATGATGACCATATTATGAACTGATAAGGCAATACATTTAATAAATTAGGCAGAAGACTGTAAATGAAACATTTCAATCTGGTATAGTTTATATGGAAATACTAAGTCATTTCTGCTATTAAAAAACCCAGTCGACTCCTGTATTAAACATAAACAATTGAAACGCTTCTTTTAACTGCATTTATAGATGTGTTCACATAAATCTTTGGCCTCACTAAAGCTCAGAGGAATTGACAATGTTCATTAGTGTACTGACACGACACACACGATAGAGACACCAGAGACTGTACGAGGGCAGGGAAACGGACACACTCGGAGAACTGAACTATGTGACAGTGTGTTTGTGGCCAGTTTACAGAACTAATCACAAGCTATGTGTTTCAACTAGACCGATGGTACACGTGCAACAGACTACGATATTTGACTAAGTAAACCCAGAAAGCAACTTTGCATTTTAAAGCTGCCCAAACACAGCCTGATGTCTTGGCTAAAACAACGCGGAATTTGGGCGTAATTTTTGAAAATTACGTTTAACCATCGCCCACGAATAGACCAGTCCTCGATTAGATCATATGTAATAGAAATGAAACCAAACATCTTGTAATAACTGTTGACTTTGCTTACATGACGGAAAATCATACATCTTGCGAGTTATTTTGGCAATAATGACATGATTGAAATAAATTATTAAAAATAAATAAAATATTTAAAGTTCTACACTATTTTTAATAATAAGTAATGATTGGTCATCACGTTTCAGTAGTAAAGTGTGTTGATCTTTCAATTAAGCCATTATGAACTTATAAAATGTGTGTGTCGTGTTTTTCATGACAAAAAGGTTGCCGAGCCCAGAAATTAAAAAAAGAACCAAAAAAATAAAATATATGAATGAGGCCGTGTGTGACGGGAAACGGCATTTGTTCGCCTTCAAACCAGTGTGAACTCGAGAGAGAGCTTCAATAAAACATGGTTGGCTATGCAGATGAAATGAGCACTTTAAACTGGTTCTACATGACTAAAGAAAACTGTGGCGTTCCTTTTCACCAACGTCGGGAAACTTCTGACCCATAATGCACTGGGGGAAATATAATCTGCCTTGAAGCTGTCGAAAGACCAATAAATGGGGATATCCGAGTGCAGGTAACATGGAGAAAAAAACACATAACCTACAGACACTAACAATACACAGCTTAAACAACAAGACATGTAGTCTCGTAATGTGTGTTCGCTTGGATTGACGAAGAGCCAACTGCCTTTTTGCCAGAAGAATCACCTATTGTTTCTAGAAATGTGTGCGTTTGCCTGAAAATGCAGTTCTTCTAGCCTCATTGAAGCATATGCTATCTTGATCATCCGTCTTGCCCCTTTAGGTAGGAGTTGTGTTTGCATATCTAGAGAAATAGCTGCCCGGGGACATCGCCAGTACGGTGCCGAGTGCACTCGCCTCGAAGGAACTTAGATGCACCACTGTGGAGTGTGTCCTTCATGTATCTTCGCATCACTCCAGCGGTTCCTTCTTCTCCTCTCTTTCAATGTTTTTCCGCTCTTCTACAACACCCGCTTCTTTGGCTTTCTGCTTCAGCTCTCTTTGATACTTGGCGTTGATTGCAGCATACGCACATCCGTACACAGCTGCCGCCAACATCATCAAGCACACGATGCCACACACCACTCCTGTGATGACCACGGTGGCGATGGCGTGCCGGTAGTTGGCAGGCCGGGGTCTTTGCTTGGGCTCACACTCGGGCAGGATCCCCTCTCCCGGCGGGTTGAAGTCGCTCCCGGACGGAGCTCGAGGGCTCGGGTGAAGCGGTCCGCTGAGCGCGCGGTGCTTGCCGTCCAGGTAGTGGATGTTGGCGAACAGGTAGCTGTAGCTGGTGATCATGCAGGAGTGGAAGAGCTCGTAGGGAATGTGCCGCAGGTCTCGGTCCAGCATGAGCTGAGGTTGGACGCACGTGATGCTGTCCACCACTCCACCTGAGAAAACAAACACATATTAATGGTGGAGAATGCGGGCATCTTCACTGTATGTAAGGCCCAGGGCTGCTAAGCAGAACATCCCTGTGAGGAGCGAGCCGTGCGCTAACGACACTCAACAAGACAGTGTAGGCTTATAGTAGTGGAATTTTCCCTGTAATATATTCATGACAAAAATTTGTTTCCACCAGACCCATCGTGAGCTAATAAGTACACACAAGATTTAAATATGTGTGATGCTTGTTTTATTGTGAAAAAGTTTATTTGTAGAATCATTGCCAGTATTAAATATATAAATTATATAAATTTATGCAACTCTGCTAATTGCATAAACTTTTTTCCAATTGTTTTAATGACTGAAGATATGTGTTTGCGCGTCATTTTGTGCCGAGGAAGTACAAACCAGGGTTGATGTTAATGGAGGCCTGAGCCAAGCAAAATGAACAAAAATGCCCCCAAAATTCAAAATAAGGGTTCAAATGGAGGGATTATTGTCAGAATTTTGCTTCAGTCCCTAGACGTTTAATTTTATAATTTATACATTTATGTTGGCTTTTACATTGAACATTATGCAATTGCTGTGTAAATACATGTACGCTGCTGTTGAGCAGCATGAAATATACTGTGTGAATAAATAATTTACCCTAGGTTGATCATTTACTCTAGGAATACTCTGAGGTTGATGTCTTTAAAAATGAGCTTTCAGTAAGATTTTGATTAGGCGCAGTACCAAACATCTCCACTAGATAAAATTTGCTTCCCATTCATCTCCAATACGCTTATTTTTGACCACAAAGTATACAAGTATCTCTATTTTTTTCAGGACCATTGAACTTTTTTGAATCATGTCAATGAGATTTTTTGTGTTCACATAGCAAGTGCTAAAACCTTCACCAAGTTTTGTAAATTAGCCGCACAGCAACAGAGGGTTAAATTTGTCAATTGGTATTTGACTTGAAAGACAAGATACTCTTAATAAAGAAATTACAAAGATAAAAAAATGTCCCTGGAAACAGTTCCAGGGGAAAATATTTAGCCTTATTTCTGATGTGAAGCAGCTTCAGGCTGTCGAAAGGCTGACCTAATGCAAATAAAAATATGCTTTTTCTTACTAACTAATGTTAACAAATCATGTTCAGGAAAAATAAATAAATAAATGAGTAAATAAACTGCAGGCCGCCCCATGCTCCTAGCAATAGCAGTTCAAAAGAGACATGATGCAAGACTGATGCAAAAACTTGTTCCATGGTCTGTTGACTAAAGGGCAAATCCACGAAGCTCTAACAGGTGTGGCCCAAATCCGGAGCAGCTGCATGAAACTGTGTGTCAGATGATCTACCAATCCCATTGTGAGATACGCAAAGCGATTAACTCATCCTGGCAAAACAGGGTGCTCAAGCTAAACTTCACAAAGAGCGTACCATTAGCTTTATTTTCTGTGATAGGAAATCAGAAATTATTCTGACAATTTAGGGTGAAATAAAATTAGGTGAAAAATTTAGCACAATGTAGAAAGATTCTTATGATTCTTAAAGACTAGCTCTGTTTGATTGTTTTTGTTTTGTTTTTTAAAATGAAGACTCTATCGTGGATTTGAGGGTTTAGTTACCTTTGAAAGCAAACATCTCCAGCCATAGCTTGAGTCCTATCATATTACAGTCACATCTCCAAGGATTGCCCTTCAGTTGCAGAACTTTCAGGTTTCCCAGAGCCTCCAGGTGTATACGCTCCAGTTTAGTCAGCCGATTGTAATGGAGAGACAGATGGGTAAGATGGTGGAAACTCTCAGCAAAAGCGGCAGGTAGACCGCCGATGGTGTTATAGGACAGGTCCAATATGGTTAGGTTTCTTACTGAAACCAGAAGACGCCGGTCCAATTCCCGGATAGAGTTATTGGCCAGGCTGAGGACCTTCAAGCTTCTGAGTCCCAGAAGGGCACTGGTGGAGAGCATTGTGATTGAATTGTTGGCCAGGTCCAGAATTTTAAGTTGTGGCGTCTCTCGAAAGGACATGGAGCCCAGGCCTCGGAGACGGTTGTTTTGGAGATACAGCTCCAGGGTGTCTTGATTGAGTTGACGTGGAACATCATAAAGACCTCGTCCCCGGCAGTCCACCACTTTGGTGTGAGTGTCACACAAGCACTCCTTGGGGCAAGAGGAGGCCGTCTGGAGTAATAACAGGCTGGATAATGCAAAGACCACACCTGGTGAAGACATAGAGAAATGGACCGAGTTATCATTGCATTCATTTGGCTTCACACGAATAGTCTATTAACTACGATGACACAATCATCATAGGTAAACCAGTCAAAAGTAGTCTCTAACAATTCAAATTAAAAAACAAAATGTCCCAATGCGCTCTGCTACCCGGTGTTCTTTAAAAAGCTAGTAACCTACAGTGTACTATGTAGTCCCGTTTTCAAGCACTTGTAATCTGGATTTGGCTGTCTATGATATATATACTGTAGTACATCCAGCTTTACCTGCATTCCTACCCTCACATAAAACGATATATAATATATAGCAAAGTTTGGCTTTGTGATTGTTTATATCGTTGCAAAATATATAAAGTTTCATATATACATATATCCAGCTTTACTGCATGCATACATGCAGTATTTCTCAACTGCTTGATTGTTTATTTCATTGCAAAATGTAATAATATTTTAGACATGGATAATATGTGATTGCAATTCATAATAGAGGGTACATCAAGGGTAAGAGCAAGGTTTATTTCTATAGCACATTTACAACAACACGATTGCTGACCAAAGTGCTGCACGTCAAATATAATGCAAAATCTAACCAAATAATAACATAATTTAAAGTTTCCATTCAAGATTTTGTTTCACATTGAGAGACTGGATTGTGAAAGGAGACTTGAATGAGGCATCCTCCTCACATTCACCTGTCCATAGCTCCTTGGTCAAAAACCACGCTGAGACCGGTCAGAAGGAGTCTTCCTTTAGGATAGAGCTTGATTTGGTCACAATGTTACGTTTTTGCCACTCTTTCAGTCAAACCTCAGGTTGATGCGTTGTCTTTTTCAGTGGCTCTTTCAGGGCCTACTCCCTGTTACTTGTACCACACGAGACATACATTAATTCAATGTCCCTCGTTTTATGTGGCACAGTGTGGCTAGAGTCTCAGGGCAGAAACTGTTTTACCAAGAGTTCGCCTTGCTCCAAGTGTTCCCGAGCAAGGTTGACATGACGGATGCATCTTTGACAAGCTTGGGGTCCTGTGCGACTGACATTGAGGCATAAGCCTCATAGCACATACATTGCCTGGAACTTTTCGACTATGTTCTTTGGTCTCGAGGCTTTTCACGCAGGGATTTCGGATATCGACCTTCAGAACAGATTCAATCTCATAAACTCCCATGTTAATATGCCCAACTTTACAGCAGAAAAAACATGTTTACTGTCTGGTACCAAAAGTAGTTTTGGTCTTTATAGCTAATTTTGCCCTTCACTAAAACGACTGATGTCACTGCTAGCCGTTTGTCTGCTGTCTGTTAGTGTCACATCACCTCAGCTAATCCGCATATTTTCGTTTATCCGGGAGTGATGCTGCCAAGATGGCAACGGCCGGCTCCGCCAACTTTGGGCTTCAAAAACGCTCTTCAGAAACACTATGAGTGACGTCACGCACACTACGCCCACACTTTTTTTTACAGTCAATGATACTGACTGACCAGTCATTGGGAGGGGTGGTGTGTGCCAGGAATGGAGGCTCCATCTTCATCGAACTCACAGGGGTGTATGCATTCGTTCCTCTGATCTATATATGACTGTATTGCTCATAGACATCTAAACTCCCAGCAGGCAGCGAAGTCTTCGAGGGAGGCAGTGGCTCAGTGGTTCATGTAGGTTGTCTACAAACCGAAGGTCGGTGGTTCAATTCCCGGATCCTCCGGACCAAGTGTCGAGGTGTTCAATGAGCAAGACACCTAACCCCAGCTGCTCCCGACGAGCTGGGCGGCGCTTCGTATGGGTATGGATGACATGGATGACGCCGTCGGTGTATGAAAATACAAAATGTAAAGCACTTTGGTGGCCAAGGCAGTCCATTTGCCATTTACCATTCAAGCAGCCATATTGCTAGTCCCAACAGAAAGAAGACAACAAAGAGTAAATCTTGTTGATCGCACAGATGTGGCCCAATCTGCTGTAGTTTCCAAACTTGGTACCCGACTGACCCTGCTCTCGTAGGCTTGCGGGATGACGAGGTGCGAGCTCAATGTGTGGCTCCTGATTGGCTCACAGTTGAGAGTGCCTTGGTAATCTCCACAATGGTGCATGCACAGATCTCCTGTTTCATCAAGAGTGTCTATCTATCTATATCCAGGCTCAGTGTCAATGTTGAGGCAGTGGCAGCTGGTCATTAGGGTAGGTCCGTTTCGACCAGCACACTTCTCAGTTGGCCTATTGATCCCACACACAAAGGGCAATGGGCCAACCAGTTGTTTGCTTGTTGTAGAGTCTGCTCAAAGCGATTGGATGTTTTCAAACAAAGTCTTATTGGGTTGTGAAGGCCTTTGATTGCCCGAGGCAAACGAGCGCTCCGGCACGTCTAAAGGTGCTTCCCTGGAGACATTTGTTTGGCTCTCGTATGCTTTTTCCAGAGTTAACTCTCTGGAGGATTCCCCTCGAGCTTCTTGAGTTCTCTATCTGAGAAGGGATTGTTTCATTGCACTACATATATAAGTTACATAAGGTAGAATATATTTTTGTAACTTAAAGTAATTAACACTATAGGGATGTTACCAATCAAATAAATTAAGCATCAACAAAATCCCTCTTTACGCTGCAGAGGTGCATCTGGAGTGGATTTGAGATGCGTTTCCTCAGACTTTTTAATGGAAGGAGTGCATTTACACTACGCTACGATAAGTGCATAAACAATGTTTTGAAATCAATGTTGAAAAAATCAAATGATATGCACTCTGTGTCCAAACTTTGGCAGCAGTGGTGATACTCCAACATGCAAGACACCCGAGTCCGTGTTTCTCGAGCACCACAGCGAGACGTCGTGGGCAGTTTGCTCTGAATGTTCTGCTGCCCTTCTTACGCAGACAGAAGCGGTGTTTGGACTGGATTTGTTTTCTAACCTGAAGGGTTGCTAAATTAAAGGCACAGATGTCAGACTAATGAGAACAGGGATGTCCCTCCATATTTTCAACCATGTTGAATGTTTACTTTTGTAGTTTGAAAAGCAGACTAGGAGCCTCTTAAAATGTTCAAATGAAAATGTAAAGGAATTAAATGTACAGTAATACCGCATTATTGATTTGACTGCACTGACTTTATAACTGAATCGAATTTCACATCAACATTAATGAGCTGAATATTGACACTGTCGTTTAATGTTTGTCGCTGTGGCGTGAGCTCACCTGTCATGGTTTCTAGCGGTTCCTCCGGTCAGCGTGTCCAGGGTTAGTCCAGCATGTCTGATCAGAGTAAATCCCAGAAATAAGAAGTTGTGTTACTGGACGACAGTCATTTTCTTCTCCTGTGCCTCTTTCTATCTCTCTTCCGTTCTCTGTGTATGTGCATGTATGCCAGATCCGTCATGTTTTGCTTGGTATCATCTTCACATCTATTGCCTCATACATAACCACACTCAAATAAAAACACACTCTCATTGTCGAGGGCTGCTCTCTCTCTCTCTCTCTCTCTCTCACACACACACACACACACGCACACACAATGTTCTGTTGAACTGCTCTGACATCACTGAGTGTCCGCAGGCAGAGAACTGGCAGAGCGTGCCCTAGCATTTCTCTCGTTTCCTCACACACACTCGCGCGCGCGCACATGCCCAAAGCTCCTTCACCAGCTCACGCGGTGTTGCTCACATGCACACACTGCCTTCAGAAAGCACTGACCTCCTTTGCATTTCCAAATGCTATGCGATGTGCATTATCCTTGAGAAGCATCACAGCCTTCAGTGTGTGTGCTCTTCACTCGCTGTTTCAACTGATGAACACACACGGGCCCCAAACATTCAAGTTAACCAGAGAACTAACAGCAGAACATCACGACAGCCGGCTGGACGACACACTGAATAAAACTGCTGTAGAAACTGCTTGTAAATGTCATAAATAATGACTTGCTTTAATTTACAGATGGATATTTATATAGAGATTGATTGGTATTTTATTTTAGGTTCCCTGCTTTGTAAATCTCTCTCTCATTCCTTCCCAAACTGACCTTTCCACTACACACACATACACACACTAAACTACACTTGATCTGTCTGATATAAGCTCTGGTGTATTTATAGATCACTGTAGAGGCAGATCTGACAACATTTGTGCTATTACTGTTACATTGACATTTCCATTAGTTGTGCAAGTGGAAATTGTGTGTGTGTGAGGCTGCTCTGACCTTATGGGGAATCTTACACTGATGTTTTGAACGAGATAATGACTAAAACACATGGGCCATTCTGAAGGAGTCTGGAATTGAATGTATTTTACAGTGTTGCCTGAGGTCTACTGTAAAGGCTGTTCGATCGATGGCTTGATTTTGCCAATGCATAAACAGAAATGAATACTATGGAACAGAATGGCTGCCTGCGTGAGTCCTTGCATAACAAAAGCATCATATATGGTAGATCCGGCTTCAGAATGGCCATGTTTAGACGTTGGGGCTTGTTCTCTTCAGCTGGAGCGGGGCTGTAGTTATGGTGAAGGGAATCAGGTAAGCAGCGGATTTAAGACAGGACCTGCGGGGGTCTGAAATGAAGAGAACTTTCACCTCTCATCATGATAGAAAGAAGAATGGCTTCAGCAAAGAAAGATGAATGTCTCAGCCAAGACCCCTTTAAAGGGGTCAAGTCCATAGTGTTTGGACATAAATGTATGTTGGCAGTGTGTGAACACAATCACCCTATGATAAAAATCCTCCCTCTCCTTATATTTTAAAAATAAGAAGCTTGGGAAGGCTGTACAGAACTGACCTGATCTCACCGCTGGTCTGAAGCAGATGGACCACAGCCCTGTGCCTCTCAGGTTTAAGGTCTGGTGCTGCCAGTTCACCCTGTTCCATCACCTCATGTGCCCTGAAAGCTGTGTGACGTCCCCTCTTCTGCAGTCCTGAAGATGGATGCCAAGCATGCGCGTAATTTGCACGGGGGTCATTTAGGCAAGTCATGCCACTCGGCCGCCATGTTGGCAACGCCTCCGGGCAGCTGTTTCGGACTAACAAGGCCAGGCTCCTATCTAAATGAATGGGCAGAGAGTCAGAACTGCACTTCACTGGTCATATTTGACAGCAATAAAATATGATAAAAATCGCTGAAATAGTTTGATGACTTTGCCCCAAAATAAGGCTTAAAACACCTTTTCACCGCTAGTTATATTTTTACTACGCATGCGCAAGGGTTCTCTCGCTCTCTGTCGCGCGCACGCGCTACTGCTCTATATTCCGGGAGATTTGAACTAATTTGTGGGATCAGCGAGCCGCTATCGATCTGCGGGAGAACTTCTGGAACTTCCGAGAGATTTGGGACGTCTGATATTTCAACATGACATCATGGCTTTTGCGTAAACATTCACGCCACTTTCGAGTCAAGTTGCGTGTTATCTCGACGCATTTTGAGCTATCCGCGTGTATCCGCATGTATGCGTGTATGTCTACGCCATTAACGTCGCCGTGATTCCGTCTGTCTGTACACGCCGTACTCGTGTACTCTTTGACGTAAGAGTGATCATTCTTCCTCTTCTCTCCTCGCGGCCACTGAGGACACAGCGCGTTAGCTTTAGTTTTAAAGGTAAAGCGTAGCAAAATATACATACATTTTACATTTATGTCTGCGCATATCATTTCACTCCAGACTGCTTTGTGAACGAGGGTCGATTCAAAGGGACAATACGAAACACAGTCTCCGGAGAGACGCTGGTCACGGCAGTAATGAAAGGGAGAGCGCACTTCATTGTTGTTTTACAGATATAAAGTTGACCAGTTTATTAAGCACCCCCTGAAAAGGCATGAAGTCGCTATATATTTGTTTCCTGTTAGTTGTAACTAGTGTTTTTATGTTGATGATAATGAAAGGGAGAGAGCGAGTTTATGGATAAGACTTTAAAACTGATCCGTTTTGTCTCGGGGTTCGCTACAACAGGCTTTCACTGAAGAAAAGAAAGACGAAACATAGTTTTTGTGTTTCAAACTTCCAACTCACTTTTTGCGTCAAAAAGTGCCAATTTTAACATGCTATAAAAATGATCTGTGGTTGATTTTGAGCTAAAACTTCACACACACTCAGTGACATCAGAGGCTTATTTTACATCGTGTGAAAAGAGAATTACACCACCCCTTTAAACTTACACACACTCTTCTTGTTAAAGCTGATAGATGTAACTTTTAGTTTTTTATTGTTTTGTTCTTATCCCAGTATCATATGGAGAGACAACTACAACTTATAACTACACTCTTAGAAGAAAAGGTTTCTATCAGCGCTACGTATTTGGAACCCCTAAAAGGTTCTATACACTCTTAAAAAAAGGGTTCCTCTGGGTTCTATATAGAACCCTGGGGTTCCATACTTGGCCAATAGAACAATTTACAAAAAAAATGGTTCTATATAGAACCATTTTGGAGTTCCATATATGAAGCGGGGGATGGAACCATTTTTGGTTCTAAATAGAACCATTTCTTCTAAGAGTGTAAGTTATCCATTGGTATTTTGATTTCCTGATAAGTGTAAACTTTGAGTTTGCTGTGAACACGTGTGTGTGTGTGTGTGTGTGTGCGCTAAGCGGTGAGACACGACTCTGAGATGTACACACAAACGGCTTATTGATTTTATAAAGCGGTTACTGCACATATCTGGCAGGGTTTCATAAGGGAAACACAGAACGGCAAACATTTAATAATTTATTTATAAGAAATAATAATGTTTCTGCCAAGCAGTTCTCCGGGAGTGTTCAGCACAGTACTGAGGTCAGGTGTGTGTTCACTGAAACCTTACAACAACTTCGAATGCGTTTCAGCCTATCATTATCAGAACGATCTGTTTTATCATTTGCTTTGAAAAAAAAATGTAATTCTGGAAAGTCCACTGACAACTGGATATGGTTTGCTTCAATGTTTCCACAGCTGTGGGCATTCAGATGAAGCTAGAGTTCTTCCAGAGGAAGTTCTGGACGGCCAGCAGACAGGTAACACACACACATGGACACACACACTCTTTGTACAATTTTAACAAATATATTTTGTTATATTAATGTGTACAATGATGATTGTTGTTGGCTTTAGTTAGTAGAAACTAATGGGGAAAGTCACATTACAACCCTTGCAGCTTGTCATTGATGATATAGTGTGTGTGTGTGTGTGTGTGTGTTTTCTTTTTTAACGTTAGATGAATGATTTCAACCATTTTGAATTTAATCATAAAAATTATATATTTTACAAGCGCATTGGTGTATCATCACATAATATGCATTTCTCACAATGTTATTGCTGTGGTAATATTGTATATCTTCAGTGTGCAGCGCTGGACGGGAAGTGTTCAATCAGCTGTGACAGCGATGTGAGTGTCCTGATTCACTCTCTCTCTCTCACTCACTCTCTCACTATACAGTATTTCCAGTCTACAACTCTGTGTGTGTGTTATTGTTTCACTATATGTAGGACATCAGCTGTTACCTTATAGACAACAACGGGTTCATCATCGTGGCTGAGGATCTGTCTCTGGTGAGGATCGTCAGTTTCCGCTTCTGTATACTGACAATTCAGAAATACTTTAAATTATAATTGCATAGTCAATATTTTATTCCTATATATTCAGATTATGATGCCCACTGCATTTCTGGAGGCGGTGGTAAAAAATGACTGAATTTATATAAATGCAGAAATAAAACACTGTATTACTGTTAATCTCACGAGCTTAGACACAGTAATCGTTTCCATTAGCTTGAGATGTTAACGCTGGCATGTCTCCTGCAGACTGGGGTGTTCTTCGGGAAGGCTGAGGGAGCTGTGATGGGCAAACTGGTTTCAATGGGTTCCTTTAAGAGGTATGGCAATGCTGAAAGAGAAGAAGACATGAGATTGTTTCTCCTGCGTATGAGCTGTCGTTAAACTAGTCCTGAGTGTCCTAACCCTTAACATAGGGCACACATATGATAATAAATCTACTTATTATCATGAAGATTTGTTTAGCCAAATGGTTACACACAAGCCTTGTTGTAATAGATTTAGTAGATACGCCTAATTTTCTAAATTCAGTGGCAATGAGATGTTGAAAGGTGGAGCGATGCCCTTCCGGATCACACGGCGACTCCAGAAACATCTAGTTCTGGATCACAGATCTCAGTCAGAACAATATGAAAGAAGAAATGACAATAGATGCATTCAGGACTGCTGAATATCCCCCGTACACACACACACACACACTCACACTGACAACACAAGACACACACATACATAGACATAAACTAATGCAAAGACAGCACACACACACACACACACGTGGATGTGAAATGAACCTTTCGTACACGTCAGTGTTTGAGGTACAGAAAGAGCTGCAAGCAAAATTATAATTATCTCTGATTTACACTTTAATGTGATGTAAAAGGAGGCCAGCTCACACACACACACACGGTCGCCTTTTTCCACATTTGTTGCCTTTGGCTTGGCTTGCTTAGTTGGGGACATTAAATTTAACATTTAATTTAATATTCAACAATAATATTGATCTCCTGCATTGACATTATCATATGAGAAATGAACTGAGCTGGACAGATATATGTAAATTAACTAAATGAATAACTTTTTTACAACAGCTGGACTGTGACGCTCTGTTGCATTATTCTCCTGTTATTACTGTAAACTGCTGCGGTCAAACACTGAAACGCTGTGTGTTGTAAAAAAGCTGACTTGACTATTGCAATTGTTCGTGTGTTCGATAGTTCAGTGAGTTCACACACAAACTCACACACACACATGCTTGTCATTGACATTTGCATTCTTTGATAGTAATTATGGATGAAATGTGCTTGTCTTTGTGTTCAGGGTGAATCTGTATGACTATCAGGCCATCTGTAGGGTGTACGCACACACCAGCGACACGGCACACACACTCTTACACGTGAGTCCTGCACAACACCGTTACACTGCATCCTCAGTCCAGTGTCTTTCTCTCATAGTTTCAAAACATCATTATTTGTGCTTGACACACACATTCTCCTCATCATCAGCTGGCATCGCTTCTCAACACACACGTCCCTATCAAAAAGTGTCCTCATATTTGGATAAGTGTATGGCTATAAATCTATAGTTACACTTTATTTCAATAGTCCACTTTAGACATTCTAATAACTATAAGTAACTTTGGAGCTACTGTACATATACAGTGATGTGAATAAGTGTTGGCACCCATGCTAAAGTTGCCTAAAAAGAGGAATAAAAAATCATCTTTTGGATATTGATCTTAATGCCTTAATTAGAAAAATGAGGAAAACTCCAACCTTTAAGCACACCAATTTTCTTTTTGAATGAATAATGTATCATAAATAAATAAATGTTTTTCCTTAAAATACAGGGTGCATATGTTCCTATGTTAAATTCCCATAGAGTCAGGCAGATTTTTATTTTTAAAAGTCAGTTATTTCATGGATCCAGGATAATATGCTTCCTGATAAAGTTCCCTTGGCCTTTGGGATTAAAATATCCCCACATCATCACACACCTTCACCACACCGAGAGATTGGCATGGGGTACTTTCCATAAGATCATCTTTCAATGCAAATCAAACCAGCTATTAGGCTAACTGAAGCAAAACCATGCCAATCTCTCGGTGTGGTGAAGGTGTGTGATGATGTGGGGATATTTTAATCCCAAAGGCCAAGGGAACTTTATCAGGATGCATATTATCCTGGATCCATGAAATAACTGGCTTTTAAAAATAAAAATCTGCCTGACTCTATGGGAATTTAACATAGGAACATATGCACCCTGTATTTTAAGGAAAAACATTTATTTATTTATGATACATTATTCATTCACAAAGAAAATTGGTGTTCTTAAAGGTTGGAGTTTTCCTCATTTTTCTAATTAAGGCATTAAGATCAATATCCAAAAGATGATTTTTTATTCCTCTTTTTAGGCAACTTTAGCATGGGTGTCCAAACTTATTCACACCACTGTATAACTAAATGTCATTCGAGTGTGTGTGCAAGTTTAGGTTAGGGTTAGTGGAATAAGTTGCCATATTTGAGAAGTTCTGTACAGTCAGTATAAAGTCTGTTGGGCGAGTACTAAGAGACTAACGACTGTGAGCGGACATGGAGCTGCAAACTTACTTATAGTGAATGTTGAGAGTAATGCATTACAACTAACAAGTTATGTAATCAGATTAGAGATTATAATATCATCAGAATTATTGCTGCCAGCTGAACTCTCCTCTCTCTCTCTCTCTCTTAATTAGAATAATTGATAGTGATAATTGAATAAGAAAATAATTGTTGTGATTCTGATAATTGACAGTACTCTTCTCTGTGTGTGTGTGTGTGTGTGTGTGTGTGTTGTGTTCTCCACAGCCGTACTTCGCTCTGTTCGCTGCGCTGCGATGGATTCTGACCGAGCTCGTCATGTAAGACTCGGATCTTATCAACTCTTCTCTGATGTTTGAGTTTTACAAATCTGAAAACTCTTGTACGAAATATAAATAACATTACTGTACTTTTTACTCTATTGTGTGTGTTTTTGGATTCCTTTCTCTCTCTCTCTCCAGAATTTGCTTTGATTATTCCCCCCATTCCTTTCCTCCGCAGATTCCTGCTGGAGTTCAACCTGTACAGCTGGACCTCCGACCTCACCGTCACAGGTGTGTGTGTGTGTGTGATAGTGTGTGTTTATGAGGTGGTTTGTGTTATAGTGTGTTTATGAGGCAGTGTGTTTGATGAGTTGATGGCATCACTGGCCGAAAGTTGCCTAGAAATGTCCTACTTTTGTAGTTGTGTGTGTACTAATGAACTGTGTACTAATGTGTGTACTAAGTTCACTAACTTACATGTGATTTAATGAACAAACTTATGCACAAACAAATGTGTGTACACCTGTCTTCCAGATGTGAAATCTGTGATTTGAATCAAATGATTGTGAAACTTGCTCAGATTAATGGTTTCGAATGGCATTGATATATAAAGATCAGCAGATGATGTTTAAGGCTCGCAGATTCACAGACGCCTGCAGTACACCGACTCTGCCACAAGGAGTGTGTGTGTGTGTGTGTGTGTGTGTGTGTGTCTGCTACGGCCTGGTGGAGCACTGACAACAGTTCCACGCAAAACATTGTTATGAACAGGAACGTTAGCATGGGTTTTAGCGTGCGCACAGTTGAAGTTCAACCCTGGTTGTACGCACATCTTATAAATGCGGTCTGGATGGATCCCTTTTTCCACATTAAATGTAAGTGAGAAAACTGCAAGACTTGTGGATATTAATGGATGTAAGTTAACTAGCGCTCAAACTGTCTTCGTGATGAGACTTTTATGTCAAAATGCACGAGTTGTGACGCTTCAGTTGTGTCATCAGTCACTGGGTGATCGTGTGTTAAAGCAGGTCGTTCTGGTCGTTATTCTGTACAGTATTTGCATGTTCTTTGAGTGAACAATGTCTCTCTCTCTCTCTCTCTCTCTCTCTCTAGCTCAGAGAGGAGGCAGGACGCTGCTGGTCCCCTGTGACACTGAATATCCAGCGTTCGTGTCTGAGCGCACCATTAAGGAAACCGTGGGGAATATTGACTGTGAAAGCTGTGTTAAGTATGTGCAATACTTACAACCACACACACACACCACACAGCCTTCTTATGGTCAGTTCACTCGCTTATAATTCTTTACACTTAAAGCTCCTTTTCCATCTAAACAGTGCTGGTTTTCATGAAGGAGAAACAAGACTTGGAAACAATATGAAGAGTTCAGATGCAAAAGCCTCTAAGTGCCATTTGAAATTTTCTTCTAAAATTATATTTTTTATCAAGCTTGTATATTTAAGTTCAGTAATTTCACTTAAATGACAATTAATAGGTAATCTTCATTGCCATTTAAGTGAAATTACTGAACTTAAATATACAAGCTTGATAAAAAATATCATTTTAGAAGAAAATTTCAAATGGCATTTAGAGGCTTTTGCATCTGAACTCTTCATTTATTGGTCAATTGAACACTGCATTTACATCATCAATAGCTCTGTATGTTGTAATGAGAGTGATGTTTGTTGTGTAATATGTGAATGATGTAGAAGAAAAAGGGACGAACAACTCAACTTAACAAATGCAATTTTACAATGGTATTATATGTATGCAGTATTCATGTGCCCTCGCATGAACGTTACGCCTTGCTGATATTTGATATTTATATATTTGGCTTTTGCCTTTTCGTTCCTTTCATTTATTTAATCAGAAAGCATCCATTCTCACTCCCAAGCTGAAGTTTGGTCAAGCCCCATAGCGTCACTATTAGACTTGCAGCTACACGTCACTCTATCGACAAACTACAGCAATGATTTTTATATATACATTTATAATTACACACTTTTTTGCAATATAGAACCATGTAACAGACAAATACAAGCACAGCTGTTCTCCAAAGTATGATTAGGAAATGAACGGTTCTCCATCTTTAGCCCGAGTGCATGAACGTGCAGCTGGAGAGCTTATTCATTTCGGTAGATGAACAGATTGCACTCTTCCTCCACACTTCTCGTCTTGTCGTGGAGCCGATATAGAGCGTTCTGCCTCTCGTCCTCCTCAGGTCGTTCGTTATCCAGCAGATTCCCAGTAGTAACCTGTTCATGGTGGTCATCGACAACACCTGCGACTGCAGCGAGCTCGGCCCCGTCACCACGGACCCCCGAGAGATCATGTATATCCTTAATAAAGATCATCTATTCATTTGGTAACACTTTAGTTTAGAGTCCAATTCTCACGGTCAACTGCTGCTTATTATCATGCATATTAATAGCTTATTGGCTGTTTATTAGTTCTTATAAAGCATATTAATGCCTTATTCGTCATGAGCATATTCTGCATCCCTTAATCCTAAACTTAACAACTAGCTATTGATAAGCAGTAATAAGGAGTTAAAAAGCCGCTTTACAGCAGCTTTACAGTGAATTTAGTTTTGTATAAATTGTATCTTAATTTTAATCCATTTTTTATCAACCAATTGCCTGGATGTAATAAATAAGAAGCAAATATAGCAGACAATATGATCATATAGATGCATGGCACGTGAACTGGAGCACATCTCATGATTCATTTTGCTCATTTAAATATTAGCATGTGTGTGTGTGTGTAATTGTGCAGCTCAAGCGCCCCCTCAGCACCTGTGTTAAACATGATCTGGCGCCGCCCCTGCTGAACATTATGATTATAAGATTATGACACTGTCTCTATGGTCTGTCGCATCGTTTCCCTTAATTTCACTGCACATAACGAGTCTCTGAAATGTGAGCGGTTGAAGTTTCAGAAGGACAGAAGACGCCCGGACACGTGCCACCCGTTCCATCACGAGGTACAGGAGCCTTCAGCGGCGACATTTAAACACCCGTGCACAACAATTACACCATCAATAAGTTATGACAATATATGTTTTTACAAGATCCAGCTTATTTATCCAAGTCCGATTAATGTCATTTAAGTTGATTGCACTTAAAAATCTACTTTTTCTGCAGTGTGGACGACGCTGTTCTCAGACCAGTGTAAATAGCACCATGCATTACTAGCATTTGAACGTATTAAATGTTTTGTAATAGCAATTCCATTGCACCATATTGTCTTTAGAGTAAGAGTCTGATTTTTTGGTTAAGTCCATACGCCGAAAAGCTCTTCATATTCCATTCCTGCAGTTCAGTAGATGTTATGTTGTTACAAAAAACAAGAATTTAGAATTTTCCAGCTTTCATACACAGCCATAGAGTTCATAATTCAGATGTGAAGTAATTTTGTCCATGTTTGATCGTTCCTCAGGAGAACTCGATGGAGTGTGGCGGGTCCGAGAGCTTGACTCCATCACTAACAGCTTCACTTCTGCTACTCCCGATAGTCCTCCTCTTTCCCAGGTGATGACAACAGGCTCCGCCCCCTTTTCCTCATTCCCAGGTGATGACAACAGGCTCCGCCCCCTTTCCCCTCTTTCCCAGGTGATGACAACAGGCCCCGCCCCCTTTCCCAGGTGATGGTGTCAGGCCCCGCCCCTTTCCCAGATGACGATGATGACAACAGGCTCCGCCCCCTTTCCCGGGTGATGACAACAAACTCCGCCCCCTTTCCCAGGCGATGGCAACAGGCCCCGTCCCCTTTCCCAGATGATGATGACAACAGGCTCCGCCCCCTCCTTGCCAGCATGCAAAAAGTGATCATATAAATATTGATTTACACAGGAAAACTTAACTATCAGAATCACATAAAGAGCTACAAATAAATGGTATTTTAAGGGAACACTTTATATTTAAGGTCTCATTCATTAAACATTTGTTAATGCATTGACTAACATGAACTAACAATGAGCAATATATTTTTACGGCATTTATCAACCTTTGTTAATGTAAGTTAATATAAAAAAGTTTGTTTGTGTTAGTTCACAGTGCATTAATTAGTGTTGACATACAACTTTTTTATTTTAATACTGTATTTGTAAATGTTGATATACTAGGATTAATAAATGCTGTAGAAGTACTGTTCATGTTAAGTAATGTAATTAACTCATGTTATCAAATGAAAGCTTACTGTAAAGTCGTACCATATTTTGTGTTCACATAGTTAATAGGAAACATCTTACAAGCAAGGCTACAGGAGACTGGTAACTGTGCTAATTAACAGAGTTTAACTAGGACTCGTAAATGTCTACAAACAATAGAATTGTGTCATACATTTTAGAGTTTTTGTTCTGTAACTATTATAGTTCTACTATGTATGATTTTCAGCCATACAACTGTGACCAATGCAATAGAATAGTGTATAACAAGCGTGGATGTTCTTTGTGGACATTGCCTTACAATAAGAGATACAACTGCAGTTTGTGTACTTTTGAAATAAATCTTTTTTTTTTTTTTAAAAAATACAAGGAGACAAATGAGTTGATCTTTGATGATTTGTTGCTTTTTGATACTTTCATATGTACATATGTCTTAGATATTCTCTTTTCAGTGAGGTGCTTGGTCCCAGTATAGCTCATTAAGCCATAGTCTCGATCTCCCCCGGTGGCTGGTCCCAGTATTGCTTAGAAACCCTGAGTTTCGATCGCCCCCCAGTGGCTGGCCCCGGTAAAGCTCATAAAGCCAAAGTGTCGATCGCCCCCTCTCTCCCTATAGGCTGGTCCCAGTATAGCTCATAAAGCCAGAGTCTATTTGGACATGAGACAAAGAATCAAATCACACTTCAAGTAAATTTTTTCCAAATAAATTTTCAGTCATTTTAGGTAGTTGGGAGTGTGAGGTCATGATTGACATCTGTGATTGACAGCTTATCTGAGTGAAATAATCACTGAGGAACCAACAGACTTTTTTCAGGAGGAAATTGGAGCTTTAACATCTTTTTTCAGTCTGTGGTGTCATGTAATGTCTGCGGCCAAATTCACCCCGTCAGATACCTTGTAATAATAATAATAATATGTAAATGTAAAATTCTCTTCACAGGAAACGATTTGTCTGATTACACAATATGGGCCAAATTACGTTGACATCGTCTGAGCTGTAAAAGTAGGTTCATCTTGAAAAGGCAAGTAAAATTACCCTCACCATTTTGCTTCATCAGGTGAGATGCATCACTAGAAGAAAAATCTAATGGGATGCATTAGATAGTGTGTTTGTGTGAGACTAAACAAACATGGGTTCCATTCATTTATGTTATGATATGTATATAGATATGTGTGTATATATATAATAATAACTACTAACTACTTCCATGTAACTTTATAGCTTTCAAGAACTCAGAAATAACTGCACCTGAAGCTGTAGTTGGAGTGGATGAACTGATGCTTCTCATGCACTTTCATTAAAAATACACTGGCAATGTGAAAAACATACTATACTCTTTTAATGACATTATTTACAGGGATTGCATTAAAAATGCACTTTTATGATGGACAGATGTACTTTTATGATGGACAGATGCACTTTTATGATGGATAGATGCACTTTTATGATGGATAGATGCACTTTTATGATGGACAGTTGCACTTTTATGATGGACAGATGCACTTTTATGATGGACAGATGTACTTTTATGATGGATAGATGCACTTTTATGATGGACAGATGCACTTTTATGATGGATGGATGCACTTTTATGATGGATAGATGAACTTTTATGATGGACAGATGCACTTTTATGATGGATAGATGAACTTTTATGATGGACAGATACACTTTTATGATGGACAGATGCACTTTTATGATGGACAGATGTACTTTTATGATGGACAGATGCACTTTTATGATGGAGAGATGCACTTTTATGATGGAGAGATACACTTTTATGATGGATAGATGAACTTTTATGATGGACAGATACACTTTTATGATGGACAGATGCACTTTTATGATGGAGAGATGCACTTTTATGATGGAGAGATGCACTTTTATGATGGATAGATGCACTTTTATGATGGAGAGATTAACTTTTATCATGGATAGATGCACTTTTATGATGGACAGATGCACTTTTATGATGGACAGATGCACTTTTATGATGGAGAGATGCACTTTTATGATGGACAGATGCACTTTTATGATGGACAGATGCACTTTTATGATGGACGGATGCACTTTTATGATGGATAGAATAGATGCACTTTTATGATGGAGAGATGAACTTTTATGATGGACAGATGCACTTTTATGATGGAGAGATGAACTTTTATGATGGACAGATGCACTTTTATGATGGATAGAATAGATGCACTTTTATGATGGATAGATGCACTTTTATCTTAAATAGATGCATTTGAATGGACTTAAAAAATGTCCTGGCTCTTCCAAGCTTTATAATGGGAGTGAATGGGCACCATTTTTTAAATTTAACTGATTGTATTTGTCTGAAAGAAGAATGTCATATTCCTAGAATGGCTCATTTTAATTTTGGGGTGAACTATCCCTTTAACGACTATTTCCAGTTAAAATCCTCTGATAAGAAAAAAATTAGAAAAGAAACATCTGAGAAAATAAATATATAATGATATCTGCAGTCTTTTAGATGTCCTGTACATAGTACTTATAGCAAGAAAACAGTTTCAGCTCTATAAAAATGATGTATTTAGTTTTGTCCTCCAGGCAGGCTCTCGTTACTTGCACACGAACTGGTCGACGGTGCGCGAACAGCGCTTGCACCTGACGTAGCAGCACCAGTGGAACTTGCAGTGGCAGCGCTCGACCAGTTGCACCTTATACTGGTCATATCCTCGACCGCAGCACATGAGCGCGCAGCCGTCCATGCCTTCTGACGTCTTGTTACAGAGCCGGCCTTGAGTTCCCAAAGAGCCGGTGGTCTTGTTCCCTACGCAGTAATCTGGACTGGGCTCTATGTACACCAGGTCGTTGCTGGTAGGAGAGTTAAATTTGGAGTGAACTTGAACGAGTTTCCCCCGGCTGTTCAGCTTCATGACAGCGGCGCTGTCGTATTTCTCCTTCAGAGCGTCGCCAACCCTGCGGAAATCTGCGAGTTGCAACCAGCATGTTTTGAGGCTGCAGGAGCCGGACACGCCGTGACACTTGCAGGAGACGTGAGCGAGATCAGACGCTATCTGTGACAGAGAAACAGTTTATTAGCTAAAAGAATCATGATAAAGTGAGATGCTAAGAATGCTGTGAGTTTGAATCAAGACCCAGATAGAGTTGCAATCAAGCGGGAACCTTCCGGTCTCTCTCTTGAAACCAACACGGAAGTGACTTAACCTGCAGTTCATCCCCTGGCCACTAGAGACCGGCTGCAGAAGAGACTCAATCCCATAAACCCCCAGGTTAAAATGCTCAACTTTACAGCAGAAAAAAGCATGTTTACAGCCTGGTACTAAAAGTAGTTTTGGTCTATATCGCTAATTTTTCCCTTCATGACAACTGTGAGGGGGGTGAATATTTTCACAACTCATCCATTTAAATTATATAAAGCCTTAAAGTTCTGCATAATTAAGGACGTGGCCACTTGAGTGACAGGTGGATTGCCGATGTGTAGACGTATGGACGTAGTGTCTGTGACAGTCTTATAGGCTTGTTCAACGTGAACCGGCGCTGCACAGACAGATCTGAGTGATTGAAAAGCATATGGAGCCGTCTGCTCTCTAATCGCTCTCGCGGTATTTTGATGTCATTCACCAATCGTTCTGTGCAGCGCCGGTTCAAGTCGAACAAGCCTTCGGAAAACTCCCCAGACAGCAACATAGTGCCGGCCCAGATCCGGCCCACACCTGGTACGTCGGAATCCAAAATTTGCAACGGTAGACTGTAAAAAAATATGGGCGTAGTGTCCGTGAGTCACCCGTAGTGTTTCGGAAGAGCATTATTGAAGCTCAAAGTGGGCGGAGCTGGCCGTCGCCATCTTGGCAGCATCACTCCCACATAAACGGAAATAGGCAGCGAGATGGATTAGCTGAGGTGACACTAACAGACAGCAGACAAACGGCTAGCAGTGACATCAGCAGCAATCCACCTGTCACTCAAGTGGCCACGCCCTTAAGGCTTAATATAATTTAAACAGATTCACCCCCTTCAGTCTCAATGAAGGGCAAGATTAGCTATATAGACCAAAATCATCTCAGTACCTGGCAGTAAACATGTTTTATTCTGCTGTAAAGTTGGGCATGTTAACATGGGGGTTTATGGGATGGACTCTCTGCTGCAGGCGGCCTCTAGTGGCCCGTGGATGAACTGCAGTGGAAATCACTTCCGTGTTGGAGAGACAGGAATGTTGCAGCTTGCAACTGTTCAGTCTGCTTGTATCTGTACAATATCTAGTCACACGTAGGGTTTATTTTCACTTGGTAAGACACTTACTAAAGGATGGAGATTTGCTGTCTTACCCTCCGTCCCGCCTCGTTGTTATGAAGGTTCATCAGCCGTCTGGCATTTTCCACAGAGCCTTTAGCGAAGCTTTTTTCCCGTTCGCGGGCATCCACAAACTCCTTGCTGAAGCGGTATCCATAGTTGACGTTGTCGCCGCATCCGCCCCACAGCCAGTCCCTCGGCAGATCCTTCGGTCTCGCGGCTCGACTGCATCCGCAGCTCGACAGCTCCCCCTCTCTGCAGGCTCGACTCACTGCGTTCACCACACCGGCCGCGCTGATCGCGAACGTGAACGCCGTCTCGCGGCTCCCTGGGGAATTCAGTTAGCTTTGTTTATTTGTTAAAAATGTAACTTTTCTAAGGACAAATGCTAGCCTTGCTCAAATTCTGTGAGGCGCGTTTGTAACGTCACGTAATACGTAATTACGTTCAAAAGGTCACGGGCGACGTAGCCGGAAGTACAGAATCAAAATCGTCCGACATCGTTGTTTTACCTTTTAATTCCTTTTTTTGTAAACGGCGTTTGAGTTAGTTTGCACGTTCAACCTATGCGTTCAACTTGTAAACACTGACTCTGCACTTCCGGCTACGTCGCCCGTGACCTTTTGAACGTAATTACGTATTACGTGACGTTACAAACGCGCCTCACAGAATAGAGCAAGGCTAGCATTTGTCCTTAGAAAAGTTACATTTTTTTGATGGATAAGCGATCGTTTCGCATTATAAGACCCTTATTCATCGTCTGGTGTCGTTTAAAGACATTTAAAGCCGCATCTGAAACTGTTATTAACTCTTTTGGACCTCGGACCGTCTGGTTCCCATTGAAGTCCATTATATGGAGAAAAATCCAGGAATGTTTTCATCAAAAACCTAAATTTCTTTTCGACTGAGGAAAGAAAGACATGGACATCTTGGATGACACGGGGACGAGTAAATTATCAGCAAAAGATTTTTCAAAAGTGAACTAATCCTTTAAATGAGATGAGTTTCAAGGATTATTTTGCGTAGATGTTACACTTTAATCAAACGCCAATGCAATCCTTCTGTCCAGTCCAGAGGCATATGAAAAATTAG